AACTTGGAAAATTACTTTTCCAACACAAATAAATAGAATCAAAGTGCAAACTTTAAACCCTCATAACTTCGAAATTTTTATAGATAAAATTTTTTTAACATTTTTTCCATGTTCCGGGTATCTTACCTTATATGGTATTTTTCTCTGGGGCACGAGTTCTGGCGCAGCCTGTATATGATATACCTAATTAGATACATGAAATCATTCTTTTCTGTTTATTATTATACCAAAAGTAATAAAACCAAAAAAAAATCCTGACGTAAATTTATTTATTAGAAACCAGATAACACAATCTAATCGAATACTCAGCATAGGACTGCTTGGCTACACTTAAATTGTTATTAAAAACAATATTATCAATGTATTCAAATTTATCTTCGTTACCAAATGTTGTAGGTATTTATCTTTTAGATAAAAACGATTTTTTAATAATATTGTAAAGATACAATTCACTTTACTAGGAATTTACTATAGTAATTAAATTTACAATTAAAATGGCCAGTGATTCTAAAGTTAAGTTAGTAACATTAGATAATGTAGAAATTGAAGATATAAGACATGTCAAATTTCATAACTTCTTTTCGAGCTTCTCTTCATACACTATTCAAAGTTACCAACTTAATAAGAAACAACTTTAAAATAGAAAATTCAACTGAAACCACGTCATAATTTTTTATTCTTATGACATTTTTACAGTCTGCTAATTACTAAAAAAATTAGTCTAGAATCCTGAACTATGTTGCAACATTATTTTGTTGAAAATCCACTGTTTTTTGTGTGGCATGATTATATGCATTCCGCGTATCACATAATTCAATTAACGTGTTTCAAAATTATCTCCCATTGGTTGAAACTAACAATTAAATATCTACACTCCATTGTAAAACACAATCGGGTCCAAAAGCCATATAACTGTGCTATTTCGCACGTATTCCGGGAATATTTTCACAGATTTTATCACTAATCAATAGTTGCGATAAATAGGTATTATAGATACCGATATATTAGAGTTAAAATAAATGATCGGGTAATTTCTAAAAAAGTTAAATTTATAATAAACCCGCCTACAAGATTCGCCGAAAACCTGAATGAATCATAGTAAACTTTCACGTCTATTTTAAAATTCATTCAAGTCCACGAGCTAATGGCTATTTAAAATGAAATCCGTAAACAATCCGATTGATTCGACATTTATGGAACAAAATCGTCTTTAATTACGTCACATGGGCCGGAAATTGGTTGTTTCGATTTATATATGGCAGCATTGCGCCAATATTTCGAAAGCGAGACATGCCAACATTTTAAAAATTCGCGGCAAAAAACCGACACCGATATTTACTCAACACATGGCCTTCGCGACTTGATAAGTAACGTTATTTCAGTGATTGTTTATAACATCAAAATCAAATAAAATCCACCAGAGGTTCTCAACTTGTCACGTCCTTGTGTGTAATAATCACAACAATACGAAGTCAGTCAAATGATAAATGCTCCATTTGCATGAATTCTAATGTTTCCGGTGGCCTTGCATCTTATAAGAATTTAATTTTTTAATTGTTGCAACACCGTGCCAAGTGTGTAAAATACCTAAATCAAAAAAAAAAAAAAACTACTTGACAAATATAAAGTCTGGTCGTATGTAAATACGAAGCGCTCACAAAGCACGGTTTATCTCCGTCTAGAAAAATAAAAATCCCTTTAAAAACCTAACCTAACCAAACACAACTGTCAAAAGAAATGGAAATAAATCCCGAAATTCGGGGAATAACGCGATGATGTCATGCAAAGCCAACTAACCTTAGTGTAAGTGCTCGATCCCTCTAAACAATACATAAAAAAATCCACTAGAAACTCTTCTATCTGTCAAAGAAAAAAGAACCAAAACACAAGACTACACTACTCTCAAACACCTACTCCCGCTCCAGCATGGCGCCTCGCGCAAACTGATTTTCTCAACATTCTCAGACTGTTATGCACCAGGCGAAGCCAGAGAACGCATGCGTTCGGAATTCAATACTCATTCGATTTGAATCTACATGCATTTGAAACAAAAAGGGGCTGCCAAGAAGACACTGAAAGCTTTTTTCGGAGTTTTTAAACGAGAGACATGTGTGCGGGTTCTTGACTTTTTAATTGCTTGCGTCAAGACTGGAGGTTTTTTAACATCTTGAAATATGATTTTGAGACGTCCCCATACTTGGAGATAAAAGTACTCCAGTTTTTCGCAATGGTTTTAAGTAAATAGAAAACATAATATCGGTTTGTTTATTGTGTTTCAAAACACCAAGTAACAAAAATTTTAAGTGTTCTTGATGTCCGCATTTAGATGTAGGAAAATTTTGTTTTGTATAGTTACCAGCCCACGATTTTGAAAGAAATGTGTAAACAAAACGTCAAATCTATAAGATATGTGTTGCGTAACAATTACAAACTAACTGGTAAATTCGTACAGTAAAAATCCTTGGTACATAAACTTACTTTAAAAAAGTAAGTTGGTATCACTTGATTTTTTTGACATAATTGTGTTATTTACGATTGGTAGTACTGTTCAATAAAAATAAAATATAAATAAAAAATCAAAACAAAATTCTTAATCAAAATAATAGTTATTTTTCTACGATCTTAACACAAAGTAAGTTTTTCTACCATAATTAAAAAAAAAAAGTAGCCAATCACAAAACAATATTTATTTGTCGTACAAGGAAAGAAATGTATCTTTTCCTCCCACAGGTGGAAGTTACTCCCCGAGATTAACCACCCAGAGAGCAAAAACACTTTCTTCCAATTTAATACCTTTTTTTCTCTTAATATTCCAGTTGTGTCATTACTAGCAGCATGTTTTTCCATTCCTATGAGGGGAAATTTTTACCTCCCTCAGACTAGAGTTCAAGAGTAAAAAAAATCGAAAAAAATCAAAAGTATAAGAAAAATTGTAAAATAGATATAAGCGATAAATTAGATATAATACCCAGTTTTTGTGATAACATTGGTAGCAGAAAAATGTGTTATCGTATTATGAAGAAGGTTTGTAGTAATAACCCATATCTAAACTACTTTCTTATCAGATTATTTAAAACAAATTTTCCTCGTTTCAAAATAAGACTTGACGGAGATTTCGACTTAATTTTTTTCTTTCATTTCTCAGAATTTTTCCATGCGACCGACTACTAGCGACTGAATAAAAGTTCCGGAAATACACGCATCTGCGAACTTATTTCTCATTTTCCTCTAACTCATCCACAAAAAAACAAATCAGAAAAACCTGAAAACAAAGGGAGTGCTTACCTCCTTCCATCTCGAGCACAATCTCATTACACAAAAACCGGAAAATGCCCTCGAACCTAAATTGTATTTGACGTTTTCAACTGTCACCCTGTTTCGGCCTTATTTTCCTCAAAATTCCCAGTGATGAGTCGTCGCGCACGTCTCGAAGAAGAAAAACAACGCAACTTGAACTCCGAACTCGAAGAAGAAGAAATCCGCTTGAAAGCTCAACGCGAACGCATCTACGCACCTGTAATATGGAAACGGTTGGGTTCCGGTATCCGGATTCAAGACTTAAAGCCGGTTTATTACGATCAAGTTTTGCGAATAATCGAAGTTGGTGTCACTACGTGACAAAATGCGCTTTCACCGGTTTTGTGCTTTCAGGAATGCTATTTCCAAGAGGAGGTGCTTTGTCGGAATAGCAACATTGCAGAGGATCCAGACTCGATAAAATCCTTCCTAAATATGGTGCTGTTTTACTTGAAAGATCGCACTTCCATTATCGCTCTGGATGAGTGTGAGTTATCTGATAGGGGAGAGTGTTTGTTAAAGCGAAAATAAGCACTGAAAAGCGATTTTACTGCCGTCTTATCTTGCTCTAAATCTTTTCATTACACACAAATAAAAAGTGCGAAAGCTTGTTAAGGCACGAGGCGTATCCAAGATGACAAAAAATCACGAACTTACAGCGAAAAGTTTGTTTTCACCCAAAAATTATCACATTATTAAGTTTATTGTTTTTCCAAATTTTTACTTTTAGGAAAGTAGCAAAATATTATTACATAGCAATAATTAATATTTTTCTCTTAACAATATTTTTTTAGCATTTATCTGGAGAAATAAAATGTTTTTTTTCTAGTTTTTGACAATTTTTTTGTAAAGACAGGCACTTTCTGTAAATACATCACAGTAGATACATCTTACTTCTTACACATACTATTTGTTTTGGAAATTGAAAAACATGTGACAAGATTTTACACTTTTTAGCTATTATGCACTGTACCTACTACTTTTTTTTAAATTTTATTCGCTCTCAATGTAAAAATATAATGCAAAGACTAGAGAAAGTAAAGATTTTGAGATAATCTTTTAAACATTAACATCACTCCAGCTAATGAAGACGCTATCGCGGGCTTCCTCGTTCTAAAAGCCATCCACAAGAACGACTTTAGCAATATTTTCGGTCGAGTCTTTCACGTTGAGGGCGAAGCCCACAAAAAGTGCCTCGCATTCACTAACTACCTCGGCCGAAAAGCTGATGTTTATACCGAATTCAACTGTGACATATTTCTCCAATTTTGTCTGTTATGCATCCGACCGGAATACCGCAAAAAGGGTTTGCTAAATCCTCTTTCTAACCATCCCCTAATCCCAGATTTATAGCTCTAGGCCTACAACTGTTCCTTTCCGCTGTAGATGTTGCCCGATCCCTGAATATCCCAGTTGTGATGGGAATCCTGTCTTGTTGGACCCTTCAAAAGCTTGGAAAACGAATAGGAATGAAAGTAATAATAGTTTAAAGCTAGCCAACCAACAATACACAACGTATTGCAGACTGTGTTTGAAATTGATTACGTGGGATGGCGGGACAGATTCAACGAAATGATTTTTGATGACCCCGGAATTGGCAATTACACCTGTGCTGTGATGGCGGGACCAGTACCTCCACCCCCGGAAGTAGAACCACCCCCAACCACTAGCGAAGTTGAGGAGAAACTCACAAGGGAGGAAAAACGCAAAGCCAAGGAGAAAAAAAAGAGAAAACAAGGAGCGAAATAAGACATTATATCACAGTTCGTCTTTTATTTCGTTTGTTGCACGTAAAGGTAAAGAACGCCAAAATTCAGTACGCGTTTTAAATAAGCCTTGCTTCATTTCCAGGCTATCTAGATTGATGTGGTAGTAGTCCATGTCTTCATTTGTGACAGGAGTCCATTTATTTGGAATGTCTTCATTGGTAAATGGAGTCGGATCCCTGGAAAGTACCGTCAGAAGAATAATAATTTCAAATCGAGGATTTTACCCAAATTTGGCAAAATTGACCCAAAGAGTAGTCATAATTTTGGCAACTTTTTTGTCCTCCTGACTTGGAGGTTTGTCTGGGAAAAGTCCATCGCCAACCGGAAACAAGTATTGAAGTTCGTCCGCGTGACAGACTCCATAGTCCTTTTCCTTATCTCCGAAAATTTCGGTAAAACTGGCAACGCCGCGATGGCCGAATAAATAATAATAAACCGGCTTTTTGCTATATTTGAGATAGTACCGAATGGCTTCGTCAGCACCATTCAGAAACCACCCATCAGTATACATCTGGAACCAAAATTAAAAAAGTACCACAAGTTTGTTGGTACTCACATCCACAACGTCAAAGCGCGAATTTTCGGTAATTTTCGATGATCCGAAGTAGAAATTTCGAATTTTGTTCGTCACTTCTTTAACCTTAGTACTCGTCTCGTCATAGAGTAGTGAAATCGGTACGACTTCATCAAACTTTTCATCAAGTTCGTCGATTAAATATGGATTGCCGAAAATACCAGCAGCGCGAAGCGCCCCATCGTTGGTATTCAGCCCCACAATCCATGGTACTTCACTAAATGTACCCTTTTTCATGGTTTCGGTAGGATGTTCGACTAGGAAAGCACCCTCCGAGTCGGGTTCAATGGTCGGTTTGAAGGGAATCATAGGATCGGTGTCCCATTTCTAAAATTAGATTGTCAGTTTTTAAATTTTAATTTTTGGGGTTGGCACCATAAAAATTTGGTCTTTGGCAACAAGATCATACGCGGGGATTTGCCTTAAACATTCGACCAAGGCCTCACTCGACTCGGTGTTACAACCAAATTCTTTCGCCAACATTTTGGCATTTTTAACCCCTTGACCCTCAGGGGCCACCGCCCACAGGCAGTGTGCGGTGCCACTCTGAGAAATGGCCGTTTGGAAAAGACCTACAATCATTTCAGTGAGCAAGACTTAATTGAACTGGTAGATGCAAATAAATATTTCCGGCTATGAAAATTAATTATTGTCTTACTGACTTTTTCTAGACCTAAACAATAATTGTAAATTGTAGTTTAAAATACAATTCTTAGTGTTTATTGACAGTTACCAAACAAACATCTACCACTATCAATTTTTTTGTAAAAATAAATGACACGGACCGACCTTTGCTTAGTGGAGACATCATATGCAACTGAACACTTGCTCCTCCTGCCGACTCTCCAAAAATGGAGACTTTGGAAGCATCGCCCCCGAATTCTTCAATGTTGTCTTTAACCCATCTAAGAGCTAAATTTTGGTCTTTCATGCCGTTGTTTCCGGGACATACGTCGTCTTCTGTGCTTAAGAATCCCAAAGCACCTGAAAATTTTATTAGAAAGGACAAAAAAAGAACTAATCAGAATCACCTAATCTGTAGTTGGGAACAACAAGAATTACATCACGATCAAGAAGAATTTCAGGGCCGTACCACATAGAATTCCCACCGCCACACAACCAGCCGCCCCCATGAAAGAAGACCATGACGGGAAGGGGGGTCCCGGATTTGCCAACCTTACAATTTTTTAAATGCAATTACAAGTGCTAGATTAAGTCATAACTATGAATTAAACCAGGTCAGGTCGAATTACTCAAATCGATTGCTTTATACTTGTACATTACAATCACTTTTTCCCATTTAAAATAAAAAGTTGTAAAAGTGTAAATTGAACAAATTGTTTTTACATAAAAAGTGCCGGTTTTATAAGGTTTTGACAACTTTCCATATGAAGTAACATTGCTGTATGCTACAACATAAATCATTCATAAACGACAATGTGTCACACTTAACAATTTAATTACATTAAGGAATAAAAATCTCATTCATGCACCATTAAATTAAAGTAACCAAATGTTGGCAAATCATAATTAGTTTAAGGTGGCATTTTTCCAATTAATTGATTGTTAGGAATTTTGTTGGGTTTGGTACAATAACATGCTCTAAGTATTCATAGGCCGTATTTAAGTTGGTTAGTAATTTGGTGCTTTTTATACAGAAAAATGAAGTGACTAACACAAAAAGTATTCAGTGATATTCTGTAATAAAAGTCCTTTATTCTTTAAAATAAATTATTGCAATTACATACAATAAAGCTAAAACAAAGGCCTGAATAATACAAGACAGGAAAAAACAAAAAAGAGGAATTTGGACCGAACATAAATTTGAATATTTAGTTGTTTCAATTCTTTAAAATCTTTTTAATTCAGTTATTCATTTTAAATTTATGACCTTCGTTATCTATGCTAAAAAAAATGATTCCACATTGACATAATGAAACACAAAACTTTCATGTAAATGACAACCATTTGGTCTAAATTAAGTGTAAAATTATCGTTTTTCAATACATTTATGTTTACTCAAGCGATTTAAAACACTTTAAAAGTACAATTAATGGACACGAGAGTTAATTCGATAATTATATAGGTTGTAATAGTCAATTAGGGTTCTCGTTGCGTGACAATTTGACCAAAGGATAAATTTTTTGTATCGCCCAATTTCATTGAAGCTCATTTATTAATCACAAAGAGATTTAAACAAAAAATATGCTCTTGTAAATTAAATTTCTTTGCAGGTATGAAGGTAGTTTTTTTCAATATTCATTGTTTCAGTTGTTTTTTTCCCTATTTCAAAATAAATTAGATTAATAATAATTTTTGAGTGTTCTTCTTTCAAAAAACGTTTGAAAAATTGTTTTTAAAGTTACAATAAGTATTTTTTAACAATTAATGAAAAATAATATTAGAGTAATAAGAGTTTCAACTTTTTATAAGAAATGTATATTGTTAACCAATGAATCACAATATCTAATAATTAAAATTAACGTTAACGTAATAGTATATTATAATACTAGTTTATATAAGCAAGCCTTTAAAACACGCACGACGGGTTTAAGACCACGACGCGTCAGCGGAGTGCTTCTAACGTCGTAAGTGTTTTAAAGGCGCTTATAAACGAGTGTTATACGCTATTTTTTATTGTCCCTGCCCATTTACTATCTTTTATGAGCATTGAAAAAATGTGAATTTACACAATAAAATTATCAAAGGTTGTTTGTGAATCGTTTTCGTAGAGAAGGTTACTAGTTTACGTTGTTAAATACATTTTTTCACGTTGTAATTGGTCCAGACATTTCACTATTTCTTGTTACCTAGACAACTTTAAAATTTCAGCGTGCTATAAAGGCCAAATTACGCACGCTGCAGCGTGTTTTAATTTAGGATTATGATGCAGGTATAATAAAAAAAACGTTTAAAACCTTATCTACAAAGGTGAAAATCTAAAAAGAATTAGATAATTTAAAGTCAAATTTGATATTGCTAAACATTCTATGCAATATTTAAAAATTAAATTTGTATGTTTTCGTAAATATTAATAAATACTGAATTTTATTTTATGTTTACTTATTTTTTATTGATAACGTTAAAATGTAGACAATTAAATAGTTTTTTGCACGTTATCGAGATGTGTATATAACATTGAGCATTGAGCTATTATAATGCATAAGTAGTGAATACACAACAATATGTACTTTGGCAACTGGTGTTAAAAAATATAAAAACTTAAGAATATTTAAATTTAATTTTTTCGTTTTTTGCATAGATAATAATAATCTATTTTCTGTTACAGATAGTATGAACCATGCAATACTTCAAGGCTGTATCAAGAATCATATTTGAATTCTAATAAGCTTGCTACGAGTATATTGCGTAAAATTAAAAAAAAGTATTCATTTTTCACAGCATGAATTGCATTAAAATAATTACTTACTTCTGAAAAGTGATTTAAGATTTACTTTGATGCAACTTAATATTATGTAAATTTCGGAAATTTTCCGTAATAACAATTCAAAACAACTTGGGTGAAATTCCCGCTTTTCGCAATTAATAAACCAAACATCTGTAAATACCTGTGGCGTATAAACATTGAGATAGAGGCAGTCCTCGTCTCCCTCGATCAGCGTAGTCCTCCTGTAGATATCCCTCTGGGGGCACACGTTGTGCATGACTGTAGCCTCCTTGACCCCATCCCACTTATCCCCGGGGACCGGTGCCTGCCAAAACCCAAAAATCCAAACTCGTTCTCCTTGAGCGACACATTCGCGTCCACGTGTGAATAATCAAGAAAACTTACCTTAAACCTGAGTGCCCCTAAGGGTGGCTTAGCGAAAGGAATGCCCTCGAAGGCGCTGAATGTGCGGTTGCCCCGCGTCGTCCGGTATTTCCCCCGAAGCCGGCCCTGCGTGGTGTCGGCCTCGGGCGCTCCCGACGCCAGCGTCACTAAGAAGCACACCCAGACGATACCCAACATTTGTCTTCCGATGAGACGACAAGACTCTTAACCGGCCAGCAAGCGCTTTAAGGTGATAGGTGTGAGGTGGGGACATTTCGTAATTAACGACTATTTGAATAAATGTGGTGTGGAGTAGCCCTGGCTCTAATGAGACCGTTTGAAGCGGCCTCGGGGATTTTACGCCTGCTTACAGTTGAGAAATAGTGATTTTGATTTTTCTAAGCGGAGCTGAGAAAGGTTCAATAACATTGCGGTAATTACGAGTTCCAAAGTAATTAATAGAAATAACTAATTGAATTGTTGTGACTGGGATTGTTTGACAATATTACGAGGCAAATAGAGTAGAATTAAATATAATTACAGTGAGTTAAGTGGTTGTAAAACTGAGATACTTTAATTAAACGAATCAAGACAAACAGATAAAGATAAGAGAGATGAGAAATAATTAACATTTCAAACATTATTTTTCCTAGGATCCATTTAGTTTTAGGGTAAAACCAGTTTTCTGCAAAGTCTGAAAATTTTGAATTACAAATTTTAGCCAATCAAATAAAATTTTATTTGTTGTAGCATTTTAACCAAATTACTGCTAAGTAGCTAATTATTACAAATTTATTCTTTACTCATCCAGTGATGATTACTACTTGTAAGTTACGAGTCTCTTAATGTTTAATTAATTCAAGACTTGCCTGTATTAAGTTTTTTAATACTGTTTATTCAAGGGTACTATTAATAATAATACGAGTAATCTAATAACATAACTGCTCAATATTAAATTAATTTAAAATGCAACACCTGTTTTGTAAGTTGGTAATTTCTTATTTGCTGTTATCAGATGGCCAGTGGAGCGTATTCTTTTAATTATATTTAGTTTAATATACAGTATGTCCGCAGATTGAGTTTACAAGAGAACAAAAAATTGTCTTTGATTTTATACCAATACTTAAAAAAAACAACATTTTTTGCTTGACCTGAAACGAGCAAATCTACAGGTGTTCCGTTTTTATTGTTACAAATTTAAACAGGTGATGAAATATTCAATTTTAAGAAAAAAGTTTCCTAAGAACATGTATCGAAAAATATTATATAAGGAAACTACATCCTCTGAAAGAGGTGCATCTGTTAATTGATTTTTTCCAATATTTCAGAAACCATGGTATTTAAAATGCAAAATTTAGTACAAGTGATTGATAACCCTTATACAATCAACCGAATTCAAAATGTCAAAATTTTTATTCAGGTGCGTCCTAAACTAAGGAGGCTTAGGGTAAAAAATACCCTAACTATTTTGGCTGTTGGTTTTTGCCACTTTCAGCTACATAATTCTAAATTCCATAGTTTTCACAAAAAAGAGGTCTCTTGCGTTTTTTTTGATACAACTTACGGTTTTGAGTACAATCACTTTACAATTTATCTTACAGACCATAAAGAAAATAAAAATTAAAAATCAAATTTCTTTTACAGTTTAAGACGCCCGTGATTTAAAATTTCGACAATTGATCTTTGAATTCGTTCAGGTGTTTAAAGGTTATCAGCTGTACCAACTTTAGTAATTTTATCTATTTTGCAATAGTGGGAAAACACTATTAAAAAACACATCTTCTTGAGGGCATGTAGCTCCCTTGCGTAGCTATGATACATGTTACAGGAAACAACTGTATAATTAAAGCTTCATTATTCTGACCACCTAAGTGAAAAAAAAGTTTATTTTTTTGTAGATTCACGATGTAATAAAACTTTTACAAAATTGAAGTTGTGTATGGAAGCGATTATTAATTAAATATTTTTTATTTATTATTTCTTTTTTAAAAGTAATATATTATAGGCAACCAACAAAACACAAAAGTAATTTAAAGGTTGCTGGCTATGCTTCTAAAGATTTATTTAATTAACACTCGCCGCCAACACCACAATCAAATTTATTTTAAAAAATGAAAATCTGGGCAATTTTTATTTAATAAAGCAAATTATAGTTCTATATCTTAGGGATGTTCATTTATATCGTCCTTATTTCATTTTAATAATTTCATTATTTTACATAATTTATGAGTGTTCAGTGAGCCCGCCCACCCAGCAAAAAACAACATATGTAAATAAAAACTGTATTTCCAAACATAATGTTACATTGAATAAAAACTGTGTTTCCAAACATAATATTACACAATACACAACGAATTACGAGACCAGGCACGTTTCCGAATCATTCTCAAGATCACCCAATTGCCCTCTTTTCAGCACCGAGTTGACCACAGCCCTCGCCAAATACCCCGTCGACTGTATATACGGCACCTCCATCAACTTCTTAACCCCGTCAGTCAGCAAGCCATGATCCTGCAACATGTCCTTGACTCCATACATACCACCGTTTTTAATCCACTCATTTAAATCCTACCTTAACATACATTTCCGCCGCATCATTGATCAACTGCTCCAAATCCAACATCTGGCTGAAAAACAACTCGGGATTCCGACCCAAAATCGTCGAAACAATACTCAACAACTCCACCACCAACTGTCTATACTCTGGGCGGTTGATACAATTTAACATTTCCTCAACAAGAAGCGAAAAAGTCAATTCACACTTGGCCAAATTTGACATTGTGGGTTGTTGGGGCAGGACCTTACCCAAAACTTTGATTCCTTGAGGCGTCCGCGCCATCACATCCCATACCTGGTGGTAGAAAAAAGTGGGAACTCGACATAAACAGCCCTCGAGTTGGCGTTTTTGAAACGGGGTTAATCTATCAACAAGTGGTTAAAACAAAAGAGAGAAAAACAAAACACTGACTTTTCTTTAGCCCCCCACTCTTTAATCGACAAGACTTTGTATAACAATTGACGAACTTCGTAAGGACTGTGATCTTCAAGTTTTTTCTTGTCACCGAATATCTCTAAGTAATATTTGATAGCTTCCAAAACCCAGCCAACTCGGATTTTGAGAATTCCTTTGAAAAGATCAGGGTTTGTGGCGATTAAACGGCCGCAATAAAGGATAACTTCCTGTTGTAGGACTGCACCAATGACGTCATAAGGCTGAATTGTGTTGTACACCACGTGTTGGATTTCAGCTGGTGTCATTGGTTTGTCAAAAACTGTTTCTTTTTGACCAATAACGCCAACTGTTAACTACAATATAGCATTTACAAAACGGATAATTTACAACAAAAAATATATTTTACTTGTTTTCCGTGGACTAAAACGGCCGTTATGAAAGGACTAATAGAGTCCACATTGTGCGACAAAAGACTGCTGGTGTAACGCACGGCAGCCCAATGTCTTAAACAGCCAGCTTGATGATAAATACTATGTAGATGTTCTTCTACACCATGATCAAAAACCTTAAAATGTCCCCCTTCTCGCTTCAACAAAATACCGAAAAGTTGACACTTGCCATACAAACTTTCGGTTTGCTTAATCGCCTCGATTATCTCATGAGTTGTATTTTTTTTATAGTGCTAAATCAGCCAATCAGAACAAGTCAAATATCATAAATAACTCACCGAAAAATCTTTAAGCTCGTCATGGTAGTTAAGAACACGAGGTACATCTGTCAAACTTTGATACCCTATATAATCGTGTTGCAATTGTTTAAACTGGGTAAAAGTGTCAACAGGAAAATCAAGCACGTTCATAAAATCCAAATGTTCTGAAATAAATCACTGAGAAAAGGTTTGCCTCTTGGCTATGCGATTTACCGACACAAGAACTCGAAATCAAATTTTGCAGCCGGCCTACTCTAACTTTAACTCCTTCGCAATATCCCTTTTTGAACATGGCAAGCAAGTCGAGCATTTTCTTGAATTGTGGGTCTCTCATGTGTTCCTCGCGTATCAAAAGACACACAGTTGGGCGCCCTGACAACCTCCAGTACTTGCCAACAAATTGCAACTCAGTCTTAATATCATCAATCAACAACTCCATATCTCTGTATAAGTAGAAATCAGAAACTTCAAATATGAGAGGATAACAAAGGACGGTCGCTCCGCACACTCTATAAACCTATTTTGACATATAACCGGTTCGGTTGTAACCGCGAAACCTACTTTACTCGTCCCCAAACTCCCGATAGGTCTGACCGGACGTCCTTGCAACTTTAATTTGTGATTGATTCCGAGATTCTCATAAACTTTGACTAATTGAGTCGACGACCATACCTGGACCGGTTCTACTTCATGCGGGGTTTGAGTTTGGATGCCGTAAGTGGCCATCATGGCTTGCAGACGCATGGATTCAGCAATTAAGACGATCTGGACCACCAAATCGGTCGCAGTACCCTAACAAAAGAACACAGTTGTAAAAAACAATTGACATTCATCCTGTCATGCAAACATGGCGGGCGGGATATAAGAAGATGGACAAGTGTCAGTAACAAAATTTGATAAAGTTGAAGTTATTTGAAACAAAAAAAAACAAATGAATTACTTACAACGGACGGTTTCGCCTGGAAACACAGAACAATAAATTAATAAAACTTGTGTGATTTGTTAGAAAAGTGGGTGTGAGTGTAGGGTAGAAAATTTTACTTACAACAGAGAATTTTGCCTGAAAGCAAATCAGTAATTACTACCAGCCCTGGCTTAATTATTAGCAATTTAGAAAAAAGTCTCCAATTTACCTGGAACGCCGAGTAGCGCCCCCCTTTACGTGGCCGGTTGTAGGAGGGAAGGTAGCGTCTGATTGGGTCGAGTTCGTTGATGTGTAAAAGTCCAGCGGTTAAAAGTTGGGCTAAAATGAACATTGATTGGTTCCAGAGGAAGAGACCGTCCTCCTTTGAGGCGGTGCGAGTAGTGGTGTTAGGGGCGGCGCGTTCCGCGTCGATATTTTCAGCAGAAACGTAGTAATATTGGGGAATTACCGGGTCTACAAATTTTATTTACCACACTTGATTGAATTCTAATCAAAGTTTTTACCCCCGGTTTGATCCAAATAAATTCGTTGTTTTAGCAAGTCTTGATATTCGGATATCTGGTCAGGTAAAGATTTAAAAACGCCATCTATGATCATAAATATGTAAAACAGAGGCCATTCGCATTCGATATTTTCAAAATGTTTGATTTCCCCATTTTCGTAATATCTCCGTTTTGTATCCTCGACACAAGTCTTATAACCGTCTCGAAGGAATCGCTTAAAACCATATTTGCCCTTTAGTCGACTAACAATATTGTTTTTTGCCTCGTTATATAATAAATCTTCGTGAGTAGAGAAAGCCGGAAATGAAATTGTAGGTAAGAGAGCCGAATCGACTTCCTACAAAATCAAAATATACATGAAATCTAAAAAAATCGGGAAATATTACTTTAGAACTTGACTCTCGGGGAAGTAAAGTCTCAAATATGCTCCTATTACGATTGTGAGCATCAATATCGACATAGACGACGCTCCAGGAAGCCCCTTGTTCGCCAAACAAATTACAGCCGTTGATTGCCTCCAAGGCTGATTTGGCCAAACCAATTGAACTAGCGTGAATTTCAGGAGTACCATCATTGTATTTGCTTCCACGTTCCCACATGCCGTAGTCAGGCGTCCGGTAGGCCCGCTCAACGTAATACACCAAGTTTTGCACAAATGCCACCTCATCCTAACAAATGTCGCGTTGAAATATGCACAAAAAATGGCGTAAGTTGGGTAATTTTTGATCATGTCTGGTATAGACTTATCGACTATCCCTTGTATGTGCAAAAATTCCCAAATTTTGCGCGCAAAATTCAAATGTACCTGAGTATAAATAATCTGGAGTCCCGATGCTATCATTTGTACTAAAAACAGCAAGTAAATTGAAACGGCATCAATTTGAAGGTGGCTGTAAGAATCGTCGGTGTAGACCTCATTCCCTGTTGTTAGATGAAACTTTACGTGAAGTGCATGGATGTTACATTGGTTTTTCTTGAATAATTCGATTCGGGAGGCTTGTTTAATCCAACATTCGAGGATTCCACGCATGCATTTAACTGCTGATTGTCCCAATTCGTACGATTTGCCCCTGTCGTCGTCTATTCGCCGGTAGGCTTGATATAGCCCCCATACCGCAGCCGCGCAATAAACACTGTCGCGGACACTCCCGATTGTAGTATTGCTGGATAAAACGGGAAATAGGCCCGTTATGGGGCTCTGATAAAGCAAAAGTTGTCGTTTGACTACAAGAAAATTGGTAATTGGGGGTTGCTAGAGACTCCCTGTAAAGTACCCATGCCATAGTAAATATCTAGCTGGCGGACAGTGTCTTCGTAGTTTGAAAGTTTAAGGAATTGCTCGTAATTCACGTTGTCTTCGAGAAGGCGCCCTTTGCGAGGAAGGTGGCTAAAATCAAAAACAAAAAAGTTCGCATAATATAAATTATATTTTATTGTCACCTTTTTTCACCCGTCATTGCATAAAAAATTATTTGTGCATCCCTGTAATTACATGTTAGGTAACAATGTCAAAACAAGGGCATATGCAAAAATAGGGTTATGTTTTTGTTTAATTGTCAGAAATATGAATATAGTCAGAAACGTCAAAGTGCTATACCGGGTGAGTCACCGAAATGTTATTTCTCACATAAGCGGAAAATGCGGGCTTTTGGATATTCAAATGGAAAATATTGGTAAGATAATATTTCGTAAGAATTGTACGCCTGAAATATTTGTTTTGTTTCTCACAAAAGTTATTTTTGGATATTATTTTTATACAATTCTTTTATTTTGTTAAAAATTGATTTTTTTTTTCCGAAACAGACAAGTTGTCACAAGTCACATGACAGTGACAAGCGGCAGTCGCGAAAAATACAAAAAATAAAATAAAAATGGTTTATTTAAACGTACAGAATATATTCAATGAATTTGTTTAACTACATTCTCTATTACATATGTACAAAATTTTCAGTAAAATGTTAAAATATACAAAATTTGCTACATGAATTTTGATTGGCAACACAAAGTGATTGAACATTTATTGAGCAAAACGTTTGATAAAATATAGCAAATGTACAAAAAGTTGAACTAATGCATCTCATTAAAAAAAGTCAACGGATTAATTTAATAATAATAAATTAGAAAATAAATAAATATCAGTTAGCAGCATCACCAACACTTGTTAATTCCGAACTATGAACTTGCAAAATCACTGTTTCACTATCATCAGTCACGACTTCAGCGTTTGAAAATTGTTCCTCGTTTTCTTTTGTACTGTCACTTTTTATTTCCGACTGTTCCATAACTTCTTCACCTTCATCTAAAAAAAAAAAAATAGAAAAAAACACCCAATACTCGCAAATCGCTTACGCAAAATAAGGAGATCTTTTTCATGCGTCGTCACTTGTTCTTCCTCTTCGAGCTGCTCTACTTGCTCCTGGGAAGCCTCCTCCGTGACGTGATTATTCGGAATTCGAAACTCCTCAATTTGTGTGTCAAAATCGTCAGTTGTAACTCCCGACGCCTTCAAAATATCTCCTAAAACCGACGACTTACCATTTTCTTTACTCGGACTTGGAGGCGTTTCCGCCGCCGCAGGCGTTGTGGCTTTGGGGGTCACAGTATTTACGATGTACAACGGGGGTGACGATGTGGTAGTCGTTTTCCCCACGATTTTACCTCCAATTGGCAATACTTTAATCCCCCCTTTTGAATTAAGCAACGATAGCGGTATGACTTTCTTCGTCGTTGGATTAGTTTTGACAGTTACGACTTTGTGTTTTAAAGAATTGATATTATTGGCGGCAGTGACGAGCTGTGGGGTGCTTGTGGTGACGATTTTGAATTTCTCGAAATTTTTCACGGAGATATTTTTAACGAGAGGTATAGACAAAGTCTTTTGTAGAATACTAGAGGTATGGATCGTTTGAGCGTTTGAAACGACGATTAGTTTTTGACTCAATGGGGTCCCCGGTTTAGTGATGGTCTTTTTGGGGCACAGTTTTATGTCACTAGTGCCTGGTGTTGTGATTTGCTTGAAAGTTAGACTCTGGGTGGGTTTAGTCGTGGTGAGGAGTTTTGGACGAGGGGCTTGGTTCTCATTGGAACAACTTGGAGCTTCAGATTTTTGGGGATAATTATTTATCTCGTTTTGAATCTGCTCGATTGTTTCCTCCCCACTAGGGGGCAACACTAAATTTGTCGTGATTTTGGGGCCGTTTGACGACTGCATAATCGGACTAAATGGAATTTTTGTCTGAGGCTTCAGCTTCATCTGTTCTTTCAATATTGCGCCTTTCGTCCTTTGCCTACGGACAAATTAATCCTAAAATAAAAACAATTTTATGAACTGACCTGTATATTTGTTGAGTACGACTCATCTTAGGGGGGCCTAAGAGGTGCTGCGCCAGACTACTGTTTTCTGTACAAATGGGCAGTTTCCGCTTCTTGCTGTCTTCAATTTTGGGGGTTTCAGGTACGCGGAATTGAGCCGCCTTGCTTGTTTCAGGGATAGTTTGTACGGGGGGCTGTACCGGGGTTCGTTTACGCTCGGTGGAGGCAGGATGAGGCAGTTGTTTGTTGGTTTGGTTGGCGGTTTCGGCCGCTTCGTCAGCGATGGCCGAGTAAGCAGTCTGTGGGGCCATTCTGGGGAGCAGAGGCACGGATCTGCGCCCCTCTTGCGCCCAATCTTCCAACGATTCACTCAAGCCTGTAACACTAAATGCATGGTTTAAAAGGGGGAGTCAGGAAGCTGTCGGTGCTTACTGATATGCAATCGTATTGAGCTTCTCATCATTGACGGCTCTCCGGATTTCGGCCTTGTGGCGGTCTTGTGGGATATTAAGCACTTGACTGGTGTCCTTGAGGAGTTTGCGTTTGTCGGGATTGAGGGGGCCTTGGGCTCGCAACGCCGAAACAAGATGAGCATAAGCTTCCAATTCTGGAAAAATCGGACAGGTTGGAAGGACTGGTGCGATTTACGTAAATACCTAAATTCCTCAAACTTTGCATGGATTCTTCTTTTGTCATATCCAACAGCACGGGCCACATTGTTGCTTGCTTAAATTAAAGTCATATTTAACAATACCTGGTGGAAAACAGACGAAAAAAATCAATTTTTGTTGTAATGACAGCGTCTTATTTTTTGAGGTTATGTTCACTATCGACTCCTTTTGGGCAAGGATTGTTTCAGTTTTACCACAATTTTCACATTATTTCAGATGATTTTTCGATTAACCACAATGTCGTCGCCAATTTTTCCTTGTTTTCCAAGTTTATTGTTTTTATTTTGGAAAAATTCTTTGGGAAAGTTTGACAACCTGATCGAACGAACGGCGCCAACTTTACATTTTTAAATTAGAGCGGAGTTGCCATACTTCTATTCCCTCGGCGTTGCCACTACCAAATTCACAAATAAAACAACATTTTCTCTTTTAATACTTTTATTATCATCGTGAAATTCAACTCAAATTCAATGAAAGCATAATTGACAAGTAATTTAAATTTTTTATGTATTGCTGAAGGATTTTTATAATTCACAATCCTCCTGACTTGTGCAGGTAAATTTGTTCAAACTTTTTACTTTTCTTCTGCTTACTCCAACTTGTAAAAACAATAGTAATTGCAAATACTGTCTGGTAGATTCAGTTCAAAATCATTTTAACAATATTCAATGTTACTGGTTACACTTTCTGCCTCATACCGTAATAACTCATTTCTCGTACTCAAAATAGAGCCGGTAAACGGAATTTACCGGACAGTTTCAAATAAAATATATTACTTGTACACTTTACGTTGCAACTTGTTTTTAAATAAGAGAAACCAGAGATTGTTATAAAATGTAGCCTCAAAAGTAAAGTAAAAAGATTTAAATTATATTTTTAAAGTGAAAGTGCTTGATGATTTATTTCTTTTTTTCAATTGTATAGAGTGAAGTGAAAATACACAACATAAAAAACGTCGGAATGAATTTAGTTGGCTTTTTGGAAGTAATTTCGTAATCATTAACACAAAACAAATTTCGACCGACTCGCCTTCTCCCTGTAAAAAATGAAAACTTAATTATAATACTGTTTATCCTTCAAAATAGAATAAAGAAAATTCTTAAAGGAACGAGTCTAGCGAGTATCCACCCCAGGCACAATCCATCTAAACATTCAAAATAAAAAATATCACAGTATAAAAAAAACGACATTTTCTAACAGTCCTGTTTCTGTTGAGCTATAGTATGTTGCTTGATATACCTCGCATGCATCTGTCTCGCCTGATTCAACACTCGAGTGACGTCATGTTTCCTCACCATTTTATCAAAATGCATCGCCATCTCATTATAGTCCATACCCTTACTTATAATGTGGTCGCGGTGTTGCAAAAGCACAGTTATACATAAAAACATAAGAAACGCATTGCCTCCACCAAATTCTTTAGGTGGAGGGAGCAGCGAAGGTCGGATGGTTTCCGTCACCTCCTCGCAGGAATTCGTCATGGGGGCCCCATTCACCGGGAGTGAAACATGCGAAAGTTCCTCTTTCTCGTTTCTAACCACTTTCTTCGCCGATTTCGACGACGTAATGACTTTGATAGGAGTCACGGTTTTTGTAGCTGAGGTTTCGTTGACTAGCGTAGGCATTTCACTGTCGTACTCGAGATCGGCTTGTTCGTCGGGTGTTTGCATGGAAGTGGGACTAGTTTTGGACAAGAGAGGGTTCTCCCAGACAAAGATGTCGTCACTTTTCCGCTTCTCCTTGTCTCGATTTGACTGCAAACATATATATATTTTTTTATTTTCTAGATATAAAATAACAAACCTGTGGGATTGCAGGTTTTGTGATCTCTTCCAGGCGCTCCGTTTTTACTTCGCTGCTTCCGTCAGTGGAGGGGGACTCTGACAATCTCTCGATGTATTTATCGCCGAACACTTTCCGGTCTAAATTTTCCAATTCCAGTCTCAACTCTCGTGTCACAGAAGTGGTCAAAGGAAAATACTCTTGGGAGTCGTCAGGGCTGTACTCATCGAAAGTGTCCTCGTTTGAAGTCGACGAATAATGTCTCGTTTTATCCAAGCTCGAACTTTCCGAATCATCGAAACTCGATTTAGTGAGAAGAATTTTCGGTTTATGGACGTCACTCACACTTGTCCCCATTCGAACTAACTTATCGGAGAATTTATTCTTATTTGCCGCAGCAAAGTTCAGAAATTCATTCAAATTTTTTACCATCTTGCCTTTAGGTTGCGTTTCATTTTCTTCTTTAATCGAATTGTCGAGCCGTTCAAGGGAAGAAAACAATTTCGCTGCTGCTATCCGATCCTTCAGATCCTTAAAATGTCCACTCTTTTTCGTGGTTTTAATCAAACTTGTCATACTCGATGACAAACTATTCTTCTTCGCATTGTTAACTCCGTTATATAAAATATAAGAATCGGATTTGGCTTCTAGTGGCGACACCGATCTCGGTCTGAGTTCGTTTTTGGGCGACCTCGGCGATAGTTCGGCATTTTTCGGTGACGTTTCGTTACTTTTCGCCAATTTTTGTTGCGAGAGGGCAGCATCGTCTAAACTTTGGTGTTTCAACTTAATATCTAAAATATTATTCCGTGATTTACTGATAGTCTCGTCAAGACTATGATTTTGTCTTTTGACAGTTCCTGATTTTTTCGTCGTGTAATTACTGAGCGAAATCGATGAGCTTTGACGACGCAAAGCACAAACTTTGGTGTATGCGTTCTCGCGAGGCGTTTTGACTAGGGGGCTCATGGGGGGCGTCGCCGAGATCGGCTGGAATTGTATATCGTACAGTTTCAGTTCGTTTTCAGGGGGATACGACGGCAACGAACTCCACAACACTTCCAACATGCGAAGGGAGTCCTCGAAGGCAAATTCGCGTTTCATTTCGAGGAGGAGCCATCGGTAGCAAAATAAAAGATCGTCAGCCTTGAAAATGACAAATAAATCGGGGATTTTTGACACAGGAGTACCAACCTGATGTGATTTTAAATAATTGTAAAATTCAGAGTCGTAATACATTAAACCTTCGGCTAAATGAGTAAATTTTTGAGTCATTGCGATTCCATCAATCATGAAATTCGTACTGAGGCGCTGCATAAGGGCACAAAAACAGATGTAGGCATGGGCCTCGTCGTTCATAGTTACCAACAGAGGAGACGCCAAGTCGCTCATCCCTTGGCAGTAGCTCACTTTGGGGTGATTTAGGGCATAACTAAAATTATAATCACAATGATTAAAATGCAAAGTTGCATATTTTGCGATATAATTGAGGTCATTTACACAAATAACTTATAGTATCCATAGCAGGCCAAGGAAAACTTCATGTCTTATCAAAGTTTTTTTTTAATCGTTATCAATCATGTTTTAGTAAGTTATGTAACATGCAAATGTAAATGTCATTCACTACAATTTTGTCTTCCGTTGGATGAACGATTTTAAACGATTTTATTGGCTTATTGGCCAACTCACTTACGTGGTCAAAATATTAAAAAGCGAAGCAATATTTTGATTATCGTCACTCCCGGCGTAAAAAGGATGATGCCTATCAGTCCTTAGGACATCTTTTCGGACCATTCCTGTAGTATATGCCAATTCCCCAGCCACTGGCCCTTGAGCAATTGCCGCCTTCCAGGTTTCCCTCAAAGTCACATATTCCGCGGCTTTTCTTTTAATATAATCCATTCTTTCCCTTCCTGTCATTCCCTCGGGATAAACGTTGAGTAAATGTTTCCAAACGACTTTCCTAAAATCCCCGTGAAACTAGAAAATCAAAATTTCGGTCTTATTAAACCTCAAACTGGGATCAATTCCGCCAAAATAAATGACATTTCTAAGCTCCTTAGCGTATATTATTTGTCCTACAGGGTCTAGAAAAGATCTGAATTCGGAATCGGATAACGGAGGCCTCGGGGGCTGTAGCGGAGCATTTCCGTCGTCCCCCAGAAACGCCCTTTGTACCAAGTTAAACGTTTTTCCCATTTGATTGAAAATTCCATGAAGGCGTGGCGACGGTTTGGCTTCTTGGCATGTAGAAGTACGAATTTGAGTTATAATAGGGAGGTTTTGTTTTAGTTCCCAGTCGTCCGAACATTCCTCAAAAGGCTTCAAGTCGACGCGGAGGCATAAACAGGGCTCTGTACTGTTCCCCACTGACATATTATAGGCCCTGGAAAATATCCGTGAGAAAGGTGATCCATAAAACAGGGGGCAACGCTACTTCAAAAACGCTGCATCCAAATCCCAGTCTGACAACAACGGCATGTACGTCTCGTGCCCACTAACGTCGTACAACCGATAACAAATCGCAAAGTCCCCTTTGAGATCAAAAGCTTTGGCTAAGATACTTTGCAAGACCTCAAATGACGTGATTTGGGGATCCACACTGAACTTGCGCAGCTCGGGGGGTTGGGATCCCTCATATTTCTGAAAAGTCGGTTTGTATGTGTGCAAAGGGGGGCCATGTATGCTTACCTTAACTTTGACACGAACAGCCTCGCGGCTGTAGCCGAAGACACCTGACATTCTCGGATTTGGTGCGCAAAGGTGGGCTCAATTTAAGTACTTTCACAGGAACATCTTGAAGTGAGTCGTGATGTTACAAGTGACCATAAACAATCACATTATAAATAAAAAGTTTGACATTTACCCGTGACATATGTGTGACATTTTTATGCAATGTCAAACAGCAGGGGTGGCAACGTAAGGGATGAAAAATGGATTTGAATGCCTCGAAAGTTTGAAACTGTTTGAAAAGAAATTAAATGGGTAAAGGAAAAGTGTGGTGATAATGGAACTTATCTACTTCCTTCAATGCTAATCTAAAAAGAGTTGCGGTAGAATATATAATTTGCATTTTTAATGGCTTTAGAATAAATTACCTTATTACACTGTTATCAGGACAATTTTAACCAGAGTTCTTATTTGACTGGAATTTTGTTGTTATTTCTATTTTTCAACACTCACCGTTTCACTAATGTAAAGTGTTCTGAATAAAAAGAATTAGCAATTAGAAAACAGTCACTCAAGTGAGAAAAAAATCGAGAGAATGTTTATTACGAAACAGGAAACTTATTGAACAATTCACCTGAATGCATGGCAAATGTAACTTAAATGCGTTTATACGTATTTTTAACACAAATATAAAATAAAAATTATTTTTAGATATTTAGTTTCCAATATTATTAAAAAAATATACCACAAATTGAGTAAAATACTTTATTAACAACTAGTCATAATAAATAGTTCTCTTCTCTTTATTATAAAATAAAATTGGTATTTATTACAAACTATCCATTAACCGTTACAGAGTAATAACTGCCGCTGACTGATAGTATCCATTTTGAGCTGAAGTAAATCTGACTGATAAATGTATTTGCTCCAGTGTTGTCTTTCCAAAATAATAATCTTTGTATCTGTCTAAAATAAAACTAGCATCAAATGATTCTCTCCTCTTGTTGTCTATATTTTTCTGAAAGTCTTCGTTTTTGCGGAAAATTGTGTTCATCAAAGTTACGTGTAATTTAACGTTATCATATTGTTTCCTCACCAAACCTGAAATCGATTAAAATCAATTAAAATCGTTAATTCATTGATTAAAAGATTTTTTATCCTACCATTCCTGTAAAACGCATCCAAAATTTCATCTGCTGCTTCTTGCAGACAATCAACATCCCCTTTGCTGTCTAGACAAACTTTCCCATACAAAACATCAACTTCATGAGGATCATCATTCAAAATTTCAATTCCTTTCATCACGATTTGCGGCTTTCTGCCTGCGAAAATTTTTTGAATGTTATTTTGGCATTTATTTAACATTTGTTTAGCTTCTTCAATTTCTTTCTCGTCTAAAAGAGCCAGAGTGACTATAGTAAGATGAAACTTTTCCACTTTTTGAAAAATTGTCCCATCAATGCCCCTAGTGGAGGGTCCTTGAAGAATTTCTTCTTTAAATTTGAGGAAATTCCGCCTAATAATGTCAGAATAAATAGGAATTGAGACAAAATGGGTTATTGATAGCTTTTCCCGCCTCGACAGTAAAAGAAGAGCTATTTGTGTTCTTGCTGATGCCACGCTACGCTCACTATGGCCCGTTATTTTCACAATAGGGTCTCCACCAGGCTTTGGTACTTTAATCAAAGTACTTGTGTTGTCTTGCAATTCTCGTAATTTAGACCCACGTGGACCCACAATTACGGAATGTAAAGCACTGAAAATGACAATTAACAACGAAAAATGGTCTCAACTAAATTACTTTGGGACGTAGAAAGACGTAATAAATTTGCCCGATTTTGTAGGATTGATTTCGTAATTATCTTCCAAATCACAACAGTCTAACATTTCGGCTAAAAAATATACAATTATGAAACGCACGCAATTTTGTTATTTTCGTACCATCATTGTCGTCGTAAGGGGCTAGTGCGGAGTGCCCTGTTGGCTCGTTATTTCTAGAATCGTTATCGATTGATAACATCCAGTAAAACTTGTCCCTTTTGCCCTCTTTAAAGTTAATTAGCTCAACTCGTTCGGGTAAGGGGGCCCTTGAGAAGAAAAAACTGGGGAAAGGCTCACCATCACCCATTTTGACATGGGAGTTTATGTTTTTCGAAAAATATAAACTGGAAATACAATAAATCTAACTACTTCATTTTTTATCTCAATTGGTATTCAATGCCAGATTTATTAACTCAATTAAAATTAGTTTTTTGATTCGAAACCGAACATTTTTGACACCTAACCATATTTTTTTAGGTTGGTACTAATTTAGCAAATCCGGAATTTCACTCATTCGCGACATTCGTGTCTGTCTGTGTTCGCGATTTTAATAAAAGTCAAACGTGACATTGGTCTTTTATTTTTTATTTTAAAACCCGGTGATAACAAGTCGGAAATCGTTGTTTGTTTACTAGTGATAAGAATTGCTTTTAACAAGGTGTGCCCTAGCTACAATTTCCGTGGAACAAGCCATAAAATCAATGAAATGTTTTTGAATTATTTGTGGATTTTGGGGTTAACAACTGCAGTGTTTTGTGTAAAACCCGAATTTGTTTTACATCGAGCCAAACGCGAGACATTCAAGTCGATTGTGGAGGATCCGGCATGTAACGAAGTTAAAGTCCTCTGTAACAATTTAAGTGAGAATGATGATATTTTAATATTGGAGTGTTTACAATCGCTGAATCCGTCGAGATTGTCTGATTTGAGAAAGGAGTGCCAGAATGTGATTTGGACCCACATTCGAGCTTTGACGAGTGATGCACGAGTCAAGGAGTTTTTAGGCCGGTATTGCTCCCGCGATTTGGAGAATATCAACTGCGACAGTTCCTCTGGAGAGTACCTCAAATGTATAGTTAACAATAAAGAAAAAATCACTGATAGTTCTTGCAATAATGTGTTATTAAGACTCGAAGGAGTTGCGTTTCAAGACTACCGCTGGATTGCCAATTTTTTGGAACACTGCAATGCGGACATTGAACGCCTACACTGTGGCAAGATCGACGGCACCTCTTGGACCCAATTCGAGACGGTCACGTGTCTCCAAAACAGCATTCTTAATGTCCACGATGACTGCAAACACGAAGTTTTCAAATTATCCGAATTACAAGCAGAAAATATTAAACTTGACCGCCAATTGTATATGGCTTGTGCGGAAGACCACCGACGTTATTGTAAGCAATTTCCCGCCGGCACCGGCCGTATCTTTACCTGTCTCATGGACCAACCCAAAGACCGCATCACGAACGAATGCCACAAGCAACTCCTCAAACGCCAGAAACTCATCTCGCAAGATTACAGAGTCAGCAAAGGCTTAATGCGGGCTTGCAAGGACGATATCAGGAAGACTCACTGTCGTCGACAGACCTCCAACGACAAAAATATACGCCTTGCACAAATTCTCCTCTGTCTGGAAAACGTGGCGAAAAACGGAAGCATGAAAATCGACCCCGATTGTGAGATCGAGTTGGTGGAACATCGCCGGTTGCTCATGGAGGATTTTAGTGTATCACCGGAAATCGTGGACGGGTGTAGTGAAGAAATCCGGAATTATTGCCAAGGATTCGAGGCCGGAGGCAAGACGATACATTGTTTGATGGACCACGCCAGGTTCAAAAATGTGAAGAAGAGGCTCGGGGATACGTGCATGAGAGCTGTAAGTGATTATTAACAAATACAAGTGCACTAAACGTTTAATTAATTTAATTTTTTTCAGTTGGAATCCTTGGTCAAGGAAACCGACGCTGGCGAAGACTGGCGCGTGGACCCCGTCTTGCATCAGGCCTGTTACCACGTCGTGCGAACCGTCTGTCACGACATCAAAGGTGGCGACGCCCGTGTCATGTCCTGCCTAATGGACAACATAGGCGCCGATCACATGACCGAAGAATGCGAAGACGCTCTGATCCAAATCCAGTATTTCATTGCACGTGACTTTAAACTTGACCCGAAGTTATACAGGGCGTGCAAAGAAGACGCGGTCCGAATTTGCCACGCCAATACGAATTGGGAGGAGTCGCAGAAAGACCAGCCCACTTATGAACCGCAAGTTCTACCTTGTCTTTACAGACACGCCTATCCCTCCGACGACACCATCAAAATCAAGACGAGTTGTCTGCAACAGATCCAGCGAGTGATGAGGCAAAGGGCGATGAGTGTGGACCTTCAACCGGAAATCGAGGAGGTGTGTTTGGACGATTTGGCGCTGTTTTGCTTCGATAAGACGAAAAGGGGAGAGGAGATGATGTGTTTGCAGAAGAATTTTGATGATTTGAAGGATAAGTGTAGGGAGGCGGTGGAATCGTTTACGGAAGTGGAGGCTCAACATGCGGAACTCAATCCTTACATCATGCAACACTGTCGTAAGGAAATGGAGACTCTGTGTAGTTCCGAGTTGAAAAATGACGAAGGGGATATAATGGAGTGTCTCATTTCACATAAAAACGATCTTTCGGTCAAGGCCAATCCGGCATGTAGAGTCAGTATAGAGCACTTCCAAATTATCTCGTTGAAAGATTATAGGTTCACTTATAAATTTAAGATAGCGTGTAAACATTTTGCAATGCGGTTCTGTGGCAAAGCCCGAACTAAGACTGAAGTTATCACTTGTCTCAGCGAGAAAGTCACCAATGATACAGTGAATGGTTTGAAGAGTGCCGTTCCGAAAGAATGTCGGCAACAATTGAAAGCGCAGCTTTTACAACAGAGAGAAAACATCGATTTTGAGCCGAAATTGAAAGCTGCGTGTGCTTCTGATATAAAGCTCCACTGTGCAAATATCGAGCATGGCCATGCTCAAGTCTTGGAATGTTTACAAACCGTTAGAGAGAAATTGACTGATCGGTGCGAACAGGAAGTTTTCAAAGTTAAACGACAAGAAATCTACGACAATTCGGTCGATTACGCTTTGACTACAATGTGTGGGGACACAATAGAACAGTTTTGTTCGCATCACGACCGCGAAACCGTTCTCGAATGTCTGAAAGTCAATAAAGACCAAAAAGGCTTCAGTAAAAAATGTCGATCGATTGTACTACACCGAATGGCCGAACAAAACTCGAATTACCAACTAAATCCTGCACTGCAAGAGAACTGCAAAATGGACATAAACAAGTTTTGTGCAAGTATTATTAACAGTAATCACGGTAAAGATTTAAATGGGGCCGTTATTAAGTGTTTAAAAGGCTCATTTAAGAAAGGAGTCTTGTCGCATAAATGTGAAAGTGAAATGGTCTACATTTTGCGGGAACAAGCACTCGATGTCAGCTTAAATCCTCTGATTAGAGTTGTTTGTAAAAACGAATTGGAAACAATTTGTAAACCTAACGAGGAGGATTCGGGAAAGACGGAGGAGTGTCTCAAAAACGCACTGATGGAACGCCGAATAATGACGCCCGAATGTGGAGTTGAAGTGGCGAATATGATAGAAGAGTCGCAGGCTGACATTCAGGTCGATCCACTTCTACAGCAAGTATGCGCTTTGGATTTATTGAAATTTTGTAAAGACGTGCCGCAGGGAAATGGCAGACGTGAGTAACCAGAGGGCGTGGCTAACTTCGTCACGCCCGTTTATTCGTTTGAAATTTGACTAACTTTTTATTATTTGCAGACATCAAATGTTTGAGGATAACAATGGAAAACAATCAACTATCGGCTGAATGTAAAGATATGTTGACTAAAAGACTGAAAATGTACGAAAATGCCGCTCAGGTGCGTTTTTGTTGTGTTACGTGACTATAATTAATATTGTTTTGTTGCAGGTAGCGCCTCCTCCTGGTGACTTCCACGAGTTATACCATCAAGTAGTGGGTTCACCTGCGAAACATTATTTCTTTTTAATGTTTTTTATGTTGTTGGGGACTGTACTTTTAATTGGTATTTTGTTCGGGCGTTCCTTTAGGCGACGAATGACGATTAAAAATAAATGATTTTTTATAAGTGTATCTTAGTGTACGTAACAAATTGACTTGTGATAAAATATTTTAAATAAATAAATCAGATTTTATTGTCTTAACAAGGCCAAAAATACAAATATTTGAGTGTCATTAATTGTAAATATGGTGGTGTCATTTGCCATTTTAGCTAGGATAAGGACAGATGTTAAAGAATAATATTTAGGTGACGCTTTCTAAATTGTTTGTATGAAATTTTAATAATAAACGATTCGAAATAGACCTTGTTTGATTTTAATGTAAAAATTCAAACTTAGCGCGCGCGCACTGTGTCTATGAACCAGTCGGTAATGCAGATTCCGCGGAGCAGTGAGTGTTAAAGCGAAAACAGCATCTGCCATTTTGCGAAGGTGTTTTAAAGATTATTTATTATCGTGCATGTTGTGTTCGGGACAATCGGGCGTAGCGCTAAGTTTCCGGAGGACCCAACAAATGTTTAAATGGACGCATCGTCCATTATCACACAAGTGTCAAGGGACGACGAACAGTTAAACAGTTATCCTCCCGAAAAAGGTAAATAATAAGTGACAGGTCGGCTCGGGTCTCGCCTCCGGGACAGCTGGTGCTTCGGGGGCGGCGCACCAGCGACCCGCGAATGTCGCATCAAGTAGGCGTGATGCACCGTAAACAAGATGCTAGGCGCCGCAGACCAGCTAACCTTGAGCGCGACCCTGGGATTGGACGCTAATTTTTCGAATTCTTGGCAAATTTGCGTCTTAACAATCGCATTTTTTCGATTCTAAGATCCAAGCGTATGCAAATGGTGCATTCCACGCCTTTAAATGACCTCCTTAGGATGAGGCGAGCTGTCAAAAGCTTTCACATTTTTCGCCGCCACCGCCGACTCGATTCTTTCACTTGTTACAGGAACGCTACCGAGGACTGAAAATGACATATCAGAGGAGAAAATACCGACGAGTAATAACAAGAAGAGCAACAGGGGCTTTTTCAGGTCCCTGTTCTGCTGTCTGGGGCGGAAGAGCACCAAGAAAACCAACGCGGAGCAATGCGTCGACGGTAACCAATACATACCGGGAAGCAGTTGCACGTACCTCTTACCGCCCGTCCGACACCAGGATATGCACAAGAAATGCATGGTGATTGATTTAGATGAGACTCTTGTTCACAGCAGTTTCAAGGTATGCATAAAACGAAAATTGTATTATGAAAAAAATTGTCTGTCAAAATTATTTATTGAAAAAGTACAGTAGGCTATGGCAACAGTTCCACCAACTTCTAAAACAATACCAAATGTCCTTGTTGGCCAATTGTTGCTAATGTGCGTTTTTTTTAATAGTTTGTTATCAAATTCAGGTAATTACACGTCGTTTATCGTACTTATTAAGCAGATGCTGCGTGCAGGATTTGTTAAAAAAACCTGATTATCCCGGTCTTGGAAATAAATGACAGGTGTCACTGTTGTCATTCACCAGTCCATCTCAGTTCTTGTAATTAAAATCGTAATTTGACCGAGATGTTGGACCTTGACGTATAAAAAGCGATGACATTGGCCCCTGCATTCCGATTATGTAATTCCGGTGCGAAAAAAAAAATTGATTGTGAAAGCATAATCCATTCATGTCTTTATAGTAAACAGATGGATGGCGTCGGGACGCCGACGCTTCACCGATCAAAAACTTTTACGCTGATGAAACTGTCAGTATCTCACTTATTAGATTTCATTCATGAATGATGAATTTGCTTTGTTTTATTAAAAAAAGAGGCACCTCCTACACATTCATTGATTTTTTATTGTACCTGCAGAGAATTGAATTGTTTTGTGGGTGTTAAAAATGTATTCATTTCCAAAGGCTTTGTTAGAGTTTGATTGAGAGATAAGTAAGTAAACAAGAGTTTTATTTAAGGAAGTTCTATTATTGCTATTTCCGGTAATTGATCTACTTTATTAGTTTTTATAGGAGGTGCAACTATAGAAAAGTCTAAGTTTGGAAATGGCCAAAGACTAAAAAGACATCAAGGGCTTTTTAAGGAAACGAATAGATTTACAATTTGTTCCCACGAATTATTTAATTGTTGATAATGAAATAATGTTTTTCTAAATGGGATTATAACAGATAAGATTGGAAAAATACAAAACTGTTCAAATGTTTTTAACTTTTAGATAACAAAGATTCTATTGTTTTCTTTGATGCACTTACAAAAATTCTAGAAAAATAGGTTACTTTCATATTTCGGTGCCGAAATAATTTCAAGAATCTGAATATTCATGAAAATTCTTATGGTGGAATAATAAACACTTAAACGGTACGAATGCTTTGGCTTTGTTTATTTACAAATGGTACAAATGCAAATTTTATTGATCTACAAGATGTCAGGTTTTTGCTATAAATATCTATTCGTAGAAAACTTAGAACGTAAACAAAAACATATTTTAATAGCGTTAAAAATAACGAGTAAAAAACAAAAATATGGAATTTAATACCGTAATGCATCCCAAATATTGACTCACTAGGATTTTTTAATCATTCCCCAAAAAAACAGTAAAATTTTATTATGTTTGCGTGACATGTTTGGCGGACTGCAGACTAAACACAAGTGTTGTCGTCATTTCAGCCGATCAGCAACGCCGACTTCGTAGTACCAGTTGAGATCGACGGTACCGTTCACCAGGTGTATGTGCTGAAGCGGCCGCATGTGGACGAGTTCCTGAAGCGTATGGGTGAACTTTACGAATGCGTCCTATTCACCGCTTCGTTAGCGAAATACGCCGATCCGGTGGCCGATCTGCTCGACCAATGGGGTGTTTTCCGGTCGCGTCTCTTTAGGGAAAGTTGCGTTTTTTATAGGGGAAATTACGTAAAAGATTTGAATAAATTAGGACGGGAGTTGCAGCAAATCGTCATCGTGGATAATTCGCCGGCTTCCTACATATTCCATCCAGATAACGCTGTAAGTGGATGTGAAATCATAGACAACGAGGATTCTGATTGGTTATTTCAGGTGCCAGTAGCGTCGTGGTTCGACGATATGAGCGACTCGGAGCTTCTGGATCTGATTCCCTTCTTCGAGAAGTTGAGCAAAATGGACAATGTGTATACAGTGCTGTGTAATTCCAATCACCCATATAACAGTAGTGTGTCACAAAATGGCCCTTCGAACCTAGCCAGTATACAGAATAACTACTCGCCGCCCAATACGTAGCGAAAAGTTCCTCGAGTCAAATTTATTGCCAAGGTCGTTTTCTATTTCATTCATGGTTTTTGTTTCGGAGAGTTCGATTTTGTACCGACCTGGTAATGTATTTATTACATTACGAATATTATGGATAAGTGTAAATATGTAGGTAAAAATAGTAACATATTTTTTATTAAGTGAAAGAAACAAAAGTATTCTATCCCGCTTGAAAAGTTACCGAAAGCTATATTTAAAAAACAGGTATTTTTACACGGACGTTTTTATGCTTTTTTTGCTTTTATCAAGGGACCTACGAAGGCGTAAGTCCGAATAGACGGAGAGAGAATTATAGATAGTAGACCACATTAATCTGCATTTTTTTTTCTTTAATTTTTTTAAAAAGTTAAATACTCAAAGCATTTTATTTTTATCGACGGCGATTATGATAGTATAGTCGAGTGTGTTTCGTATTTGTACTAGAGACTCGTAAAACAAAAAGCGATAGATGTGACTAAACAATCAATCATATCTCGTTTCGAGGTGATGTTATTTGTGGGAACAAATCGTTCCAATTGTTAACAGTGGCCTTAAAACAAATATCTGAACTTTTTTGAACATTTATGAAAATTTTACTGTAGATCCGTCACTTCTACAGGAAAACCGCTCGGTGACGTTAAAACTATGCCTTCAAGCATCACTGAACTGTCAAACAATGGCAGATTATTGCAAGATCGGTTTGTGTATTCAGTACAAAAATTTTATTTTAAATCTTATAAATTGTTTGATAAGTTTTAAAGTAAAGTTAGTCGGTTTAAGTTATATTATTTTTCTTGATTTAAAATCACTGTACAGACATATATGTTATTTAGTAATATATTCTTACTATTAAGATTTTATTAATATATTATAAATGTATATTTATCCATTGTATTGTGTGAAAGTTTATTATTTTTCAAATAAGCAATATTTTATCTGCCTCACATCCAACATTAACGGACCCTTTAATTAGGTTAAGGTTTTTATATCCAAATTAACCGGGTTTGGTTTTTAGAAACAGCAATAGTACAATGTGGGGTGAGAATGGTGTAATTTAGCTAATTAACATTATTTTTTACATGATTAAACTAATTTGTTGTTGTAGAGAATTATCATTATTATTGTTTATGTTGATATATAGTATACTTGTACATTTAAACACTTGTACAAAAATAAGTGTTTTCATATAATTGTCATGTGAATACATATGCCTTGATTTGTAAATAAAAGCCTGTCATTTATACCCAAAAAGACTCAATTCAATTTGTTCACCCAATCAAAATAGCCGAAGCGCTATCTAGTAAAGACTCTTATAGGCTTACTTTGTCCTAACACAATAATATAAAAAAAACATTTCCATTTTATAATTGTTTTATTACTATTATCTCGCCACGATTGTCAATTACTGAGACAAAATCAGGTACAAAAAAAAGTTATTTCACATACATGATATGTTTGCACTTTAATAAAACCTTAAGATAAAATATATAAAAATAATAACAAGAATATTTATCACAAAACGTTTCCTTTTTATTAAAAAAATAAAGTCTAGGATTTAATAACTGGATACTTTCTCTTGCAGTATTTGCTGGTAACTGGCCTAAAACAAATATTGGAAATTATTATTAAAAACCAAAAAAAAGTTGAATAGGAATAAAGGAATCTACATTTTCAGACAACTTAGGGTTGGTAGCAGTGTATCTGCAGTCAAGTCTCTTTGTTCCAAATACAAATAATGCTTTTTATAATGAGTTAATTCTACGCATTAGTAACGTTTACCGGTTATTGACACCGCTACCAGCTTTGCAAAAATAAAATAAAAAAATAAACTTTTCTTTCGACTGAGTTAGAATAATGAAGTTTTAATTATAGATTTGCTAGTTTCAGGTAAAGCAAAAAATGTTTTTCCTCTGCAGTTTTCACGTAAAATTAAAGATAATTTTTTTTTTTCCTCCTGTAAACTCAATCCGGGGACATACTGTATCAATTCATTGTTTAACTCACTTTTAATGTAGTGTACATAATGCCTAATTCCCCACTCTCCAAACTCGGGTCCAGAAAATTATCGACGAAATCGAGCTCCGAGCCCAAATCGGGTATCCTCGCTCTCACCACTACGAATAAAAAAATCGGAAAAAGATCGTCCATATTCCACACGTAATTCTCCCCTAATAGTTCCTGTGCCACTGGTGTCATCTTTTCAACTGTCTGTCTTATCACTAGCAATTTTTCAGTCGGCGAAAATGTAGTTTTCAACTGCTGTAAAGTCTCAATTGCATCTTCGAAAATATGCGACGTAATAAGTTGGTCTTCCGAATGAAAAAATTTCCTAAAAACAAACACAGTCGCGAGAAATTGACCCAATTATTTCTCTTACTGGTCCACTGAAAGAAATGTCATTAATGCATAGTCTGACTGTTTGTTCCATTCCATGAGCGTTCTTTTGTACTGTCGTTCCTGTTGTTCGTTTTTGAGGGTAAAAAGGGTAAAAAGTGGATGATGGACTTTGGGTAAGATGAGTGGGTAAAGTAGGGATTGATAATTGATTATCTCTTCGGAATCTTCGTTTTCGACGAGGCATTCTTTGTCGTATGGGGGAAGGGCTGGGAATAGAAACCGGACGATTTCGTACAGTCTTTTACAAACATAATGCAACTCGGCTATGGCGTGTCCAAGGAGGAGAGGATGGGCCCGTCCGCCGTACGTCGTGGTATACGCTTCAGATACGTCTGTAAGGAGAGATCCTAACGGATGGAAATTGCTTTCGAATGCCTGAAATTTCGTCCATCAAACACGGCCCTACTGTCTCATTGATTACTTACCTTTGATAAATAACTCTTAACTTCGGTGTAGGTCCCCATGTCGAGTTTTTCCCGACCAAAAGGCGGGATTATGTCAAGGTTATTCAATGAATTATGAAGCTTCTTATCATTTTTTGTCCTTTTCATTGAGTTACTGTTTGATAAGTACACAGCGACGTTCTGCCAAATTTTTTGCGTGTCGAGTGACTTTGCACCGTTTTTTTCGGGGACTCCCAAAATCTGGTGGCACTGTTTGAACAAAGCTTTCCATTTTTGGTGGACGGAAGTGCAGAATGTCTTCGAGGGAGTTTTCTCCGATGATCGGAAAAACGTTCCGTTGGAAATTTTTATACCTTCGTCCCAGGATCCGCTCAAGTTACCCTCAATGGTATGTCCAGAAGGTAATATGAGGGTACCTTTACCGTACAGGATTCCGGTACCACGAAACTCGCCTTCGTATCGAGTACCATCCTCGAGAATCATCACGCCTTGGCCCTGGTAAAAAATGGGATATTAATGATAAAACAAAAACACTACTACCAACCGTTAGGACGTCCTGGTTGAAAATCCCTTCGTAGTATATACCATCAGAGGTGATTATTAGTCCATTTCCGTGCTTCTTGTTGTCCATCCAGTTACCAATGTATTTCTCGCCGTTGGCGATGTCATCCATGACGCCGTAACCGTTTTTCATTCCGTTTATCCAATCGCCGATGTAGAACGATGCTGCGTTGGCCATGAAATTACCTTTACGGAGGAACCCATGTCCATGGGGTTGCCCATCTTTAAAGTGCCCTTTGTAAACGTCAGTATTGTTGTAAGTGAAGACGCCAAAGCCGTTCTGCTGGTTGTCTTTCCATTGACCTTCGTAAATCCCTAAGGAAACAATAGAATATAAAAATTAAATTTTTGGTCTAAATGGACTGTGATTCTGAAATTAATTTGGTAACACTGAATAATGAATGTGGAAACATATCTTCCGTCTCTCTCTTTTATTCGGTGTTGCAAACTTAATTTTAAATCCCAAGCCACTATGTTTGGAAATTGTATTATTCAGAGTATCTTAGTTGAGTTCACTTACCAACATTGGGTATCTCCATCACCCCATACCCACACAACTGGTTATTACAGAATTGCCCAGTGTACACCTTCCCATCGCTCCAGTGTACTTTCCCATTCCCTTGCATCTTACCATTGGACCATCGCCCCGTATACGTCCCATCCTTAAAAAATCCATTACTCCTGAAAACGTAACTCCCATTTCGTACTGCCGGCGGTTGCAACGCTTCACTTTTATTCATCGCCGCCTTGATAGCGTTTTGTAACGCGTGAAACCACTCGATCTTCGCTTCGGGTTCGCTTGTGCACAACACGAGCGTCTCTTCAGGCATTTTAAGACAGATCTGGTACTGTTGCGAAGCCTCGTCCTGCTGGGGCTCAATCCAGATCGTCGTGAGGTTGTGCAAGTGAGCCGTGGAGCCGTTCATGTGAACGAAAAGGTCCGAAAACAGGACGAACCAGTGCGAACTGAACCGACTGGCATTTTGCAGGTGAATGGGGTACTTATGACTGTCGCGAATCAGACGCCGGTCAGGTGACTTCAGATGATCAACGATTTTACCAGAATTCGACCAAAACGCTCGAGTTTGTTCGGCCTGGTGCTTCTTGTGGACTTGCTCATCGACAAAATCGGACCATTTCGGAACAAATGTTAACTGTTTCGAATAGTTATCGAATATCGTGGTGTAGGTTTCGAGTTTGTCGAGAGGAGCGAGGAGGTAAGTCGAAATGATATTCTCCTCATTGTTTTTTTCTTTCTTAGTGAAACTATCAGGTCGCTGCTTGTACAAGTTTGGTGAGATTTCTATAAGTTTTGATATGCTTAGAAACCCGTCGATACTAATCACGTTAAATATCGTACTGATGTAGTTCTTGTAGACGAAAATAAATTCGTCCAAATATCGGAAAATAACAATATCACAAAGTGAGATCAGTCCGTTACTGTGCTCGAGCAAAGATTGCACATTAGCGGCCCAAAAATACAATAAGTCCATGTAACTTTTACACAACTCATCATACAGGACCGTATTAGCCATATTAATGTTCTTCTTTTGTAGAGGCTTTATTACAGTACTCTGCACTATCAACATTTCTTCTAAAAACTTCTGCTCGTCCAATAGAAAATTCGCGAAAAAATTATCACCACTGGAACCAATATTTAAGACGGTGTATTGCATGCTCGATAATAAATTTCTAAACAACACGATCGGTTCCTTGACTTCATGGTGGCCCTCAAAACAGTATAAATCCACACACTTGCTAGCCCCTTTTCCGAAATAACTCAAATTTAAATTGTGATTCAAGAGGGCCGTGTAGAAAGCCCCACATACCACGTCTTTGACGCGGTCTTCTTTACTCGTGTTGTACAATTTCGGCGAACTTTGATCCATGTTACTGTCCATGGTGACTTGATTGTGGTCGTTTCGGCCCCAAATGTATGCCCTGCCATCTAGCGTTAACACAGCGGCGTGGTAATTTTGAACGGAGACTTTGCGAACGCCTATGTTTGATAGTTTGGTAATGATCATGGGGCGTTCGCGCTTGATTATGTCGCCGATTCCTGCAAAATGGGAAGCAGTTAGAGGGCGCTAGTCATGATGGAAGCAGTCGATTTCAGCATTTCGCGCCCTTTGAAACAAAAATAGGTATTCAAACAGCGATAAAATTCTTAAAATATTCTCCATGATATTAGAAATATAACACACTGTGATACGGGCCAATATTTGGCCCATTTTTTCGAGAACTTGTAAAAATAACATGAGTCAAGCAAAGCGCAAGCAAAATAAATAGTTCTTATTTTAAATCGCTGAAATGGACTTTGCCTTGCAATTAGGCGTCTACTCGAGGGTGTAGCCCCCTTTTGTTAGTTTACTGCATATAAAATACCTGTTGCCTTCTCCACACCCTCACCCCGTGTCCCGACAAATTTATGTAAAAACTGCCGAATCGGATTATTTAAACAATCATTCGGCTCCAAATGTCGACAATCTGGAGCGAGAGAAATATCGCAATTGTGAGACTCAAACCAACCGTTACCTAACTGGCCGTGGATGATATTTCCCCAAGTCCAGACCTCGCAGTTGATAAGTTCTGATCCAGTTTTCACAATACTCGCTACTCTGTCTTTGACTTCGCTCTCGCTGAAGTCTTTTTCGGACGTGCATTGGCTTAAGGAGCAAACCCCGTCGTCTTTGGAGGCCGTCCGGGGGACACTCAAGTCGGGATTGGGGTCGACGATACTGTTACAATCGGAGCTTCCGCTCACATGTCGCGACAACGTGACGACTTTATCGCCGACGGTTTTCACTCCTTCGTAGACGAAACTAGCGACGTTTGTCATGTTTTCTTTGATAATTCGAGTGGGTTTTTCGGTGCATTCGACAAGGTACTCCTCTCCAGCCGACGACATGCGCGAGATCTGTCTGGAAAGGAATTCTTTCGCCGCTTCGGTGTTGCGGAAAATGATGTTTTTTTCGACTTTCTGTTTGTCACGTTTCTCTTCCTCATCGTCAGTGAGAACGGCTCGACGATCAGAGCTTACACTGCTGTCATTTTTACTACTCGTCGAGGTGGTCTCAATGTCGTAACTGCCTGAATTCAAAAATTTAAACAAGAATTTAGGTGGAGTGACAAATACCTTGGATTTTAGTCCCGAGGGGGCACATGTCCGAGATCGAGGTTTGCGAGGCAGGCGAGGTGAGTTGTGATGCCGATAAACATTGAGGGCAATTTGAGACAAAAACATCCTCTTCATCGCTGTCAGTATCATCGCTTTTCATTTGTTTGCTAACTATGGCTATAGCGAAGTCGTTGCCCACATTCGCGCTATGTACTGTCCTCCCATTGAAAAAAATTACTTTTCTGGGTGTTTCCGAGTTGATTCCGATTTGAGGCATGTGCCCCATTGCCCACAAGTGGCCCCAGTCTGTTACAAACAATAGTCCATACTCGCCAACTGCGATTTTGCTCACTTTCATTTTACATTTGGTGCCGGTGTGGCCCCTTGAACACTGGTAGTCTTCGAGTAAACAGATTTCGCTACATTTTTCTAAGTTTTTTGTACATTTATACACATTTCCGTCTATGTCTACCACATATAAACTATCCTTACAGCAATCTAAATCTATGACTTTCCAATCTTCGCAATAATCCAAGGAAAGATACGAGGAATTTTCGCTTGTTTGTACGATTCCATGATATAAACAGTTGCTTGTTGTTTGGATATACAGGTGGTTATCAATATTGCTTATTTTTTTTATACTTTCTTTGATGTCAGTCTGAAATTCCACAGTTTGAGTCAAGTTCCATAAACGAATATTATTGGCCATTGTCTTAAATTGTACTAAAATTTTGGATGGATTGAGGAAGGAAATCAAACGAAGCACCGGAACACTAATAAATAATTCAAACCACACCTTCCCATCCTGATCAGCTGATTGTCAAAATGACAGCACCACTGAGACAGCACAATAAATTCAACATTTAACCAAAAAATACAAGAACCTGAAAGAACACCACTTTTATATAAACATTAAGCCAAAATATGGCCATTTTGTGTGTTGCAAAAAATTAAAAAAGCCTTTCAATAATTTCACCATTTTGACAAATAGTTCCAATGTCAAGCATCAAAATAGTAGATCAATTATCACTCCCACATACTATCATACTAATAAAATACATAAAAAAATAAATAAATTTCATCACTTACATAAAATAAATAAATTGGCCGAAAAATATATAACTTAAATGTATAATATTTAACTTTTTATACATTATACAATAATAATTTTTTGTAGACAAAATAATTCAAAATCAAAATGACAGTAGTTCAAATAGGTCTATTTGTCAATAATTATTATTTTGCGTTCGGAAAATGTTAATTTGAGACAATGGGGCAAGGTAAGAGCCAATTCAGCGAGGAGGAACTGCAAGATTACCAAGATCTGACTTATTTTACCAAAAAAGAAGTTTTATAGTATGCGCTCGTTAATTAAATTTGGTATTCATTCTAAGACAGTCAGTTGTAGTGCTCATCAAAAATTCAAAGTCTTAGCACCAGAAAAAGTGGGCCACAATAAAAACGCTAAACTGCCAATGTCTAAAATGCTCAATTATCCCGAATTAAATGTGAATCCTTTTGGCGATAGGATTTGCAAAGTGTTTAGTTCTAGTCGTGATGGGGACTGCACTTTTGAAGACTTTTTAGATATGATGTCTGTTTTTAGTGAAGCAGCCCCGAAATCTGTTAAAGCCGAACATGCGTTTCGTATTTTTGGTAATCTGGTGAGGTGTTTCAGTCACGTTTTAATATTTTTTGTTTAGATTTTGATGGAGACGATATGTTGGGTATTTCTGACTTAAAACAAATTATTGAAAGACTGATTGGGAAGGATAATCATTTTAGTGAGCAGGAAATGGAACGTTTGATACAGAATGTGCTTGAAGAAGCGGATTTAGATGACGACGGGGCACTGTCTTTTGCCGAATTTGAACACATCATTGATAGATCTTCAGATTTTATGAAGTAAATAAAATATCATTGGTGGTTTCTATTGTAAAAACGCTTTTTTGCAGTGTTTTTCGTATGCGTCTCTAATTATGTGATCTCACCATTTTTTTGTGAACTGCCATGACTTGAGTAATTCCACGAGCCAAAGTAAACAATTTTATTTATTAAAAATTGTACAAACTTACAATTAAGAATAATAAACTCATCACAAGATTTATGACTGCAAATACCCCGGGAGTTTCATTCTCATAAAAATCCAAGTCGTGAAAAATGATACCAAAACACAAATAAACCCAACTGCTGTTATTAGTAGTCTATTCAGTTTTGGTGTTAAAGGAGAATGGATATGATCCAAAACTATAAAGCCCAATCCACCCATGGAAAAAAGGAAACTTGACGCGAGACCTTCCATTATGTACTGACCGTTGACTCTATAAGGCATGAATGCGACCTATAAAAAGTTGACTCAGAATTAACTACTAAATAGGCTGTTTTGGTTACTGACAGGCCTTGAATGACCATGTTCGTCTGTCGTCGAGCCGACACTCGGGGGTTCCACAATTACGTCATAAATAATTCCTAAAGGTGCACATAAAGTTTACAATATTATGTTTAAGGGTACTTACCCCCAGTTACAAGAAAATAGGAAGCTAAAACTATTGCAAACATTGTCATAGCCGAGGGCTGGTGTAGCCACGAAGGCCGTTTTATTTTCATATTTGGCACTTCGAGAATCAAGAAAGGAAGAGTAAAAAAGTGTTCCATGATTTAATTAATGTTTTTACGAATTGAAGAAGTAATGTAAACGTTGACAAGCCGGTTGACAGATGACATAACAATTGTCGGTAAAGTAGATTCCTACTCCCGTTTTTTCTATAAAATTAATGCCCATACTACTCAGTTTGAACATTATAATGTGTGCCTGACGAAATGCGACGATTTCAGCGGTTTTGACTATTCATTGTTATCCTTTTTGTAATACTAACTGATAAGGTAAAATTGTTGCCAACTTGATAATTTGTTTGCCCCCACCCCTAGACGTCAAACCGTTACCAACAGTTAAAGTACACGTCAGTTTGTTTAATTCGTATCAGTCTCTTAAAAGTTTATTCGTATATTACCGTTCGATTGTATTAAAACCATGTGCTTACAACCCGTCTGTAACACTTGCATAAAATGAAGACTTCATTTCTATGTGTCGAGTATGTTTTCATTTTAGCTTTGTGCAGGTAAGCGTCCACCCCCATGCCACAACCCCTTTAAAATTTTCTAAATTTCTAGCAAGTGCCTCGTGTGCGAAGATGCGGCGACGACTCCTTCACCCAATGCCCCAATCGGTGAAAATATTTCATCAGACAGTATTCAAGACACCAAAAAAACGCTGGAAAGTGAAAAAAGTGACGATGTAATTCGCGGTTTAGAACCTAGTGCGGACGTTGTGAGTAATTTTAATGAAAAAACCGAAGGAGAAACTTTACAAGTGTTCGCCGAAGCGACTTCCCAGAATTCAGGGGTTGCCAATGAGTAAGTGGTGTCTTTATCAATTATCACAAATCAGTGGCGTCAATAGATTTGGCGCCTGGATTTTGTTTATGCATTTCCTCGTGACAACTTTTTGACCTTGGCAGGTCCAGTTATGCAATTTTGTTTTTTATTTAACACCTGAACCGAAATTGTAGAAGGTCTCCAATCTGTAATTAAGAATTTGTCTGTTGTTTTGCGCTCTAAAAATAGGAAGTAAATCCAGCAAATGACCCCTGAGTAATTCGAAAATCGTGCGTAAATAAGTCGACCCCAAGTCATCTATTTTTAGTGAAATTATCACAAGTGTTATCACCGGAATTAGTCGTTTCCGATTGGGTTCAAATCGGGTCAGTTTGCCGGCAAATGTAGGACAAAACTTGAACAGTCATTTGTACCGATATCTATTCTTATTCGATTGTTTTCACCTGATTCCGAGGTTAAAAGTGTTGTTTTTTAAAGCGAAAATGTTAATTTATTACTCAAGTCGATTCCAAAAATAACCAACATAACGGGTGTATCTAACTGGTTTGTGTGGGCAAAAGTATCGAGTAGGATAAACAAATCCAAATTGACATGTTTGGTGATAGATCAGTAACCTTACAGAAATTTATTTCACACGGAAAAAATGTAACATTCCTTGTGAAATTGTTGGCAAGATGTTGAAATGTGATACATTTGAGAAACGCATCCGGCGTGAAGAAACTCTTGCAGTTCTTTCCTTTTCTCTGTGTTTCCTATGGATTACTACTGAAAGTAGAGATTTAAATGTGTTTTTTAATTTGTTTTATTCTTGACCAGATTTTACATTGAAAGATAGCCCTGTCAACAAAAAATATTGATTGAAATGTAATCATGATAAATGGGTCGCGTACTATATTTATAAATGCGTTGTTAAATATTTCATCGGCGTTGAATATTGGCTAGAATGTTAGGAGAAGAAAATATTTGCGTTGAGTTTACGTACATAATTATTTGGTTTTGGGTGTTGTGATAAACATGTTTTTATCTATAGGGTGTTCTAAAACTTTCTTGGGGTATTTTTGTTATGTATATACTAATGTAAAAAAGTCATCGGTGTGTTGGTTACAGTTTGTAAAAAATAAAATTTAATATGAATGTGGGTTGAAAGTAAAACGTTTAAAGTTTGAATTTATTAACCTTGAAAAAAAAAACACATAACATGTATTTGAAATTTGGTTTTTCAAGTAAAAATTACGATTCTGTTAAAAATTTTATTCTATTAGGTATCATAACTAAAAAATCATTGCATTTTGTTCATTAATTAAGAAAAATATTCGTTGATTTTGTTCATTACAATATGCCAATAAAATATATTGCATAAAAAGTGTTTTTTATTATGTAGATTATGAAAAGTCCCCTAGTACAGATAACTAAACCACTTGAAAAGGGTATTGTGTCATTTTCTCAAATATTTAGTATATATATATACTACTAGTGATGAAACGAGAGATCGGAACGATTTTTGTTTGTTTCATTTTTAAAGGCATTGTATCTAATTATGGATAACTGCACAGAATAGTGGCTCTTGTAAAAATAAAAGCGACTTTGATTGTTCTGTTAATATACAGGGTGCGCCAGAACTCGCGCCCCAGAGAAAAATATATAAGATAAGATACCAGAAACATGGAAAAAATGTTAAAAAAAAATTATCTACAAAAATTTCGAAGTTATGAGAGTTTAAATTTTGCACTTTGTCTCTATTTATTTCTGTTGGAAAAATAATTTTCCAATTTTTTTTTACTACAGGCTATTACAAGAGGAAACAAAGAAGCTGTATCCGAAAATGTAACTGTTTAATGTTATTTGTGGCTTTTATTGGCAAAATTTTTGTACATTTACTAAATAATTGTAAAAAAAAACATATACAAGATCATCAGTATCATTAAATAGACATAAAAAAAATGTCAAATGTCAAAAAATAAATGTCAAAATTTTTTCACAGATAGAATTTTTTAAACAAACATTTTTTCCATGTTCCTGGTATCTTATCTTACTTGAACTTTTTCTCTGAGGTGCGAGTTTTGGCGCACCCTGGTATGTATTTGAACATTCAAAATTTAAAATATTCGGAAATGAAATGAATTACAAAATAAAAAATTGGTCAAACTTGTAGTGCAAAAAAGTAAAAAAGGTAGCATTTAAAATGTATTCTTCAAATAAAATAGTTTTTATGGTTTTTCTCCCGTGTAAGGAAGTTTTGACAACTGTTTGGCATTTCTCAGTACAAAACGTCAAATTATTTTTAACAGATTTAAAGCAAGTTTAAGCCTTGTTGACTCTAATTCGATGAATAAAATGTTGATGTTTTTTTTAATGGCTCAATATAAATTTTTAGTCAGGTGATATAAAAAAAATCGATTGTTATTTTTTAATCACTTTTATCATAAATGTACCAACAATTACGAATAAAATGAACTCCGCATATCACACAATTGCAACCATTAATTATGAACAAACTAAAATACGTACGTCAAGCTATTATTAATAAAATACGTATTATAACCAAAATTTGCACAAGAAGTAACTTATCACTATCGACCTTGAAAATAATAATCCTTGATTACGCTCTCGTCCAGGATGATGACACAAAGCGCTAAAATTATGATAATTGTTTTGCATATTATTACTAATCATCCCCAAGGCCATTCCTTTTTCAAAAATAGACATGTTTTCTCTGCCTTGATGTTTACTTTTAATAAGTCTGAACAAAGCGAATCATTTTACTCTAATTTATGGCAAACATCTGGTGTTCCATTTATTTATTCGTATTTAATTACAGTATAACAACAAGCGGCCAGCCGGTGGTTGTGACACTCTCCGACGTCGCCACCGCCGAGCTACAGCAGCGCGCCATACTTCCTAGTCAAGACCCACCCCCCGAGCCCCAATCTGCCAATCATACCTTTAAACTCAACCAATCCAGATCTGACAAAATCGACGTACCTAGCGTCAAAGAAAACCTAACTGAAGAAATACCATCGTTCTCCGAGTGGGCGCAAAAGCAACTCCAAGAAGCCGAAAAAAACAAATCAAACACCTCCACTCACCATTCTAACGGCAAACAAGCTTCAGGGGCGAAGTTCCGATGGAAAAACTACGCGTCGTTGGATTGCGGCGCCAAAGTCGTGGCTTCCAATCCAGAAGCTGTAAGCCCCAGCGCCATATTAAGCCCCTCACGTGACGAGTACAAACTCAACACTTGCACGAGTCGGATTTGGTTTATCGTAGAATTATGTGAGGCGATTCAAGCCAAAAAAATCGATTTGGCGAATTTCGAGTTGTTCTCTTCGTCGCCGAAGGATTTTGCAGTTTTCGTAAGCGATAGGTTTCCAACACGGGAATGGTCGAATGTTGGGCATTTTACTGCGAAGGATGAGCGCGATGTGCAAAGTTTCGACCTCCATCCGCACCTCTTCGGGAAATATATCAAGGTCGAGGTGAAGAGTCACTACGGCTCGGAGCACTACTGTCCGATTTCGCTTTTTCGCGTCTATGGGACTTCGGAGTTTGAAGTGTTGCAGAAGGAGGACCAAGCACACGAGGACAGACCCGATGATGACGACGACGACGATGAGTCGCTAGATTTGGAAAATGGCGATTCGAGGAAAAATTTATTCAGTTCAGCTACGGATGCCGTGATTTCAATGGTGAAAAAAGCGGCCGAAGTGCTGGGAAATAAGGGGAATTACAGCAACCAGACTGAAATTTCAAATAACACCAAACAGGCCGTGCCTTTGATACGGGTGTGTACGTCACCGAGTCATCTAGTCGTTTGTGATAACTGTAGCGACGACCTCTTCGGACACATCTATGAACTACTCAGCTGTCACGATTCACAAATATGGAGTTTGATCAAGTTGACGTTTATTCGAAATGTCCTGATTGAGTCGAATTTATGCCAAAAATTCGGATTTGAGTTTTGTAAAGTCAGCGACAAATTTGATGTGCATGCGAAATACATTAAAGCACTGTTTCCTGAACATTTCCTCGGTGCCATGTGCAACATGGCAGCAGTTTATCAAAATAAAGTAGTACTTAACGTTAGTAATCATTCCAATGATACAATCATTGATGATGATAAAATGATAAACATCGAAACGTCTGAACCTCACATACTTCCAGTCGAGACGCGAAAAGAACCGGAAGTTACCGATGCGTTGTCATTACAATCATCGGAGGCTGCCTCGACGCCAGCATTACCTGATGTAACACTTACGTCACAAATTAAGCCAACTAAGACTCTAAATTCAGAATTCGACTCTAGACAAAGCAATACTGAGGCGAGTTCGGACAAAAGTGAGGTAAAGTCAGTTGTGACGTCAACCGAACCGGTCCAGTCAAACTTAACCGAACCAGAGGTGGAGCCGGAAGTCGAAAACGTAACCGAAAGTGTCGAATTGGATGACCCTCTTGATGCAGCGACGCCACAGGCACAAAAAGAATCGGTCTTTCTCCGTCTATCGAACAGAATTAAGGCCTTGGAGCGTAACATGTCGCTTTCGGGCCAATATCTCGAAGAGTTGAGTAAACGGTACAAAAAGCAAGTGGAAGAGATACAAAAACTGCTTGATAAAACAATACTCAGTTTAAATGAAGAAAGTAAGAAGAAAGATGAAAGGAATAAGCAGTTGGAGGAGCGTCTTAACGTACTAACAGCAAATTTGGAGGCCCTATTGGCCGAACGCAGAAGTTGGTCTTCGACTATTTCCTGTGTCGTCATTTCCTCACTAGTCACTTTATTTATTGTTACTTTTTGCTGCAAAATCCCTGAGCCGGTGGTGGCAAGACGACCCGAATTAAAGCGGCGGAAATCGGTAGATGTCGTGCAACACTCTGCTCCCAAGAAAAAACGGCGCCCGAGCGACCAAGCCTTGAAGATTGTGCGGTCCTCAATGGAGGCCAGTGATAATTTCAGAAAGAAAAAAAAGAAGAAGAATGTTCTGAGGCGATCGAATTCAATCAGCACCCTCGGGGAGGAGAAGAAGGTGTGGCAAGAGGCGGGGCCAGTCGATTGGGTGGAGGGGAAGCGATTAGAGGAAGTGCCGTTCGTACTGGAAGAAAGTGAACACTCTACCTTGGAACCGATTGCATTGGAGGAGAAAATCACTCCCCCGAGTTATATACAGACGGCGATGAATGCAAGAACGGTGCGGGCGAACGGCGAGGCGAAGAGAGAGGAGAATGGAGGTGTGAATGTGGAGGGGACGCCCAAGAAGGAGAAGAAAGGGTTGAGAAGGATTTTTAAGAAAGTTTTCTAAGACTGATTACGGCTAAGGCTGCGAGAGAGATTGTAGTCGATTTTAAGTTAATTTGAGTTATTTAAAATGGTAATATATTTTTGTGTATTTATTTAGGAATTCCTTTTTAAGGCCTGTGATAAAATTTATTTTTTAAATCGACGTCGTAGAATGTTGTATATTTGTAAATTTTACTTTGCATTGCCTGTCAATAGAGATCTACAAGGTAGAAGGAGTTTTACTGTGCACAAACCCGATGTTTATTATTATGAGATTTTTAAATTATTTAAATACTCATTAATTTCAACAAAATCATCACAGTTTGAGTGATTCTTCTTAAAAAAAATATTTATATCTCTCGAAGCGTCTCCCAATTTTTTCTTAACAAGCTCTTCATCGAGTTTCACTTTTGCACAAACAAAAATCTCATTTAAATCCTCAGCTAGTCTATAAGAAACCACGGTTTGGAACTTCCCACTTAACGTTTCCACAATAGCCGGTCTTAGATTCGCCTCACGCAACACCAAATTTAAGATAAAAAACCCTAAAAACAAATAACTGAAACGACCCTTGCTAAAGAATGAAACACACCTGAAACACCAATTATTTTGGCCACGTTTTCCAGGACAGCTTCTTCCAGAAACTGTCTTGGGGGACAACTCATACCAATTGTGCTATCTTTACTATCAACATCGAACAAAATCGCATCAGATTTTTGATTTTTAGCGGTCATTTCCTCTAAATATTTGATACCATCCTGGATAATCACTTGCAATCGTTCATTCTGACTAAGACCAAACCATTTCGTGGCCACTTCAAGCATCTCTGGGTCAATGTCGACGGCCGATACCCGAATTTGGGGTAAGAATTTACCGAGGAATGAGCACAAGCCGCCCCCACCTAACCCCACAACCACAACGCTACCCTTCTCCTTGTCCATACAAGCCATACTCGTGGCCACACTCATGTAAATATGGTGTTTGCACGTCAGGTGAGCTAAATCGACAATTTCTTTCGGTCCCTTTCTAGTTTTGATAGTTTTCAGTTTGGCTTCGGATTGGATGACTAGTTGCGAACTTAAGTAGAATAGGCGTCGAAACTTATTTTGGTCGACTGCGACGTCTTCGACGATGTAGGAACCGGAGAATTGCGACAAACCTTCGTGTTTCACCGTTCTTGAGCCCACGTCTGCACCTAGAGATAGGTAGGGGATTTTGGGGTTTTTTAAATCAGCAGGGGCGAAACTGCAAACCGCGTCCCCTAGTTCGGCTTGGACCTGTTCGAAATTGCCGTAGTCGTGCCCCCGGTGCATCGTCACGATTGCCAATCGATTAGTTTTGGTGACTTTGGCCAAATGTTGGCGACCTGATTTTGTCGAAAAGAGCCATTCAGCCTCACTAAAAGCCCAGCTTACGACATATTATATTTAAAAATTAAATTCTCACCGTCCTTGTGGCACAATAAAAGCCGCATATTGCGAATTTCTCGCACTGGATGTAGTTTCAACCACGTGAACTGTGAATCTGGGGCGGGGATCCCCCGGCCGGCATAAATCAAGCGAGACTTCGCCTCCTTCAATTGAAGACCTTTTGAGCCCTGAACACACAAAAGCGGCCTGCTGCACACTCGCTATTTGTCTCGCGATTTCGTCAATCGCCTCCAACCGTTCCATTTTTTCGCTTGAAGTGAGATTTACCTCTAGAATTTTTCGCGGCAAAATTTTAAATTTCGTGCAAATTACGAGAAAGACGGGCATCGTATTTTCCCCATTTTCGGACGTTTTCGCTTCAGCTTCAAAACAACGAACAATGCGAAACATCCAGTTATTCGTGGGAAAATAATTTAGTAACATTTTTAAGATGTGTTCTTGCAGAAGTGAGACACAGATATAGCGACCTGCCAGTTTTAGAACTCTTTGGATTTCGTCGAAGTATTTCGTGATTTTGGCCACGGTTTCGGGGCAGTCGTCGGGCATTAAAGCGTCCAAGGTTCCTTTATCTAACACTACACTAAAAGATTCGTCGTTGAAAGACATGTCTAAAGCGTCCATTTGCAAGTATTTCAAATTGGGGCGCTCTTTTTCATTCTGGGACAACATTTGTCGGATCACAACCTGTGATATATCTATATTTGTAACATTACTAAAAAATTAGGGGTTTAAAAGTTGTTTCAAGGGAGTTAAATTGAAATATCTCACTTGTAACCAATATCGTACAAATCGCGCCCTAAAGTCGAGTTTCCGCAACCAGTGATAAGAATATCATCCTGTTTTTTGATATACTTATGTAAATGGCCCGACAATTCCGGATATTCACCATACCTTTAAAATAATGAGTAAAAACAAAACTGAAGTTATGATATAAATACATTCTACCATTCAAATGCCTTAGAACCCCGTTTTTTAAAAAATGTGTCCCAGTATTCCTTCTGACTGAACTCTTCGTGCGATTTTGGCAACAAATTCATTGTAATTTAAAATTTTTATTTGAATTTGTTTTAAGGTTAGCACATGTTAATGGTTAAATCTCACTAGTAGTACATTTGAACTACTCATTTTAAAATAGAATGTATTATTTTTTTTAATATTTCGATAAATGTGTGACTTTAGACTGTAATGTTGTGACACCGTCACCTATCAAATGTCATAAGTCAGTCACACATTTGAACTACTACCAAATTTATTACTTAAATTGATAAAACATCAACTATTTTTAGTTGTTTTTGTGATTACACCCTTCACAACAATCGAAATAGATTGATAACAGTCCAGTTTGAGCGACCACGTGTTTGTTGCGTGACCCTTAACTGACCTTCACCTGACACAACTCCAAAAATATTACAACAGTTTCGCCGGTTATAACGTGATAAATCAAGTTTTGGCAGAAGTAACGTCAAAAAGTGCATCATTGCCCAACGAGAGGTCAGTCAGGGTGACAGTGATACTGATAAAACAAATATTTAGTGTTCATTCATTCCCTATCTCTTTAACTCAGCACAACATGTCTTTAAAACAAACTGTGAATCTCCTCGTTGTACGCAAAAACGGCATTAATGCCATCAAACAAAGATCCAGGTGAGAAATTTGCCATAACTGTGTGATAAATTAACGCCCTTAAAGCTCCTGGTGGTCCCAAGTGGCCATGGGCCCCCCTGATGCCATCCTAGGGGTGACCGAAGCCTTCAAGCGTGACACCAACCCCAACAAAATCAACTTGGGAGTCGGAGCTTACCGTGACGACACCGGCAAGCCTTATGTTTTGCCCTCTGTGCGTAAAGCCGAGGAAAAAATGCGAGCGAAAAATTTAGATAAGGAATATGCCCCCATTTCGGGGTTCTCCGAGTTTTGCAACGCTGCGATCGAGCTTGCGTTAGGGGACAACTCCGAGATCATATGTAATGGACTCAATGCCACCGTTCAAGGCATTTCCGGAACAGGTTCACTCCGAGTGGGGGCTGCTTTCCTTAAGAATTTTTTCCCAGGAAACAAAACAGTCTATTTACCCAAACCGACATGGGGGAACCACACACCAATCTTTAAACACACGGGATTGGACGTCCAGTCGTACACTTTTTACGATCCCAAGACTTGCGGGCTTGACTTCAAAGGAGTTCTGGATGACATCAATGTGAGTATTTTTGAATGGGTACTTATTGTAGTCTCAGAAAATCCCCGAAAGGTCTATAATCCTACTCCACGCATGTGCTCACAACCCGACGGGGGTGGACCCCAACCTAGATCAGTGGGCGGAACTCTCCTGTCTCATCAAACAACGCAACCTATTTCCCTTCTTCGACATGGCGTATCAAGGCTTCGCTTCCGGTGACATAGACAAAGACGCCCAAGCTGTGCGACTGTTCATCAAAGACGGCCATAAAATCGTCCTTGCTCAAAGCTTCGCCAAAAATATGGGTCTGTACGGTGAAAGGGCGGGGGCGTTTACTGTCGTAACCGAATCGAAAGAAGAGACAGCAAGAGTGATGTCACAATTGAAAATCTTGATTCGTGCGCTATATTCGAATCCGCCAATCAACGGCGCGAGAATCGTTAGTGAGATTTTGACAGATCCGACATTACGCGCTGACTGGTTGAAAGAGGTTAAGGGGATGGCCGATCGGATTATTTCTGTGCGAACCAAATTAAGGGATAATTTGAAAAAGGAAGGGTCGACCAAAAATTGGCAACACATCACTGATCAAATTGGAATGTTTTGTTACACGGGAATGACTCCTGATCAGGTTGGTAAGGTTGCTAATGCTGTAGGTTGTATTACGGTGGTGGGTTTTAGGTGGAGAAGATAACCAAAGAACATAGTGTGTTTCTTACGAAAGATGGAAGGATATCAATGGCGGGTGTTACGTCAAAAAATGTAGAGTATTTGGCTCATGCAATGCATACCGTCACCAAGTAGGTAGATTCAAGAACAAAAGAGCGTCGTTTATTTGGCATTTTTGTGTTTTCTTTTTTGGCATTTATATGTAAGTAAGCATATACAAGGTGTAACAAATTTGTGCGTAAGTGTAGTTTAAGAAAAAAAAAGACAATGAACTGTTACACCCTGTATATTATGTATTCTAGGTGCAAGTATTATATAATAGGAGCTGTCAATTTTTACAATTTATTAAAATATACTTTATAAAACAATTTTTTTTGGATGAACACAATTCTTAATACAGTTTGTGGCTTAATTAATTAGTTACAATAAAATATTTTACAACTGTACATTTTTTCTCCTAGATTTTATTTTCCATTTCCGGCCACTCAATACTCTCGATTTCTTTCGAATTATTAGCGAGTAAATGATTTTTAAAAATATTTTGTAAGGCACATCTCATTTGTTTTTCTTCTCTAAGTTGTGAAGACAAGGCAGAAACGTTGTACTCTAAAATACTTAATTTACTTTGAAGGACTTGGACGGCGTCGATCAAATTTTTATTTGAATCTGTTTTCGACCAATTCGTCACATCAACTGTAAAAGCAAGTCGGTAAAAACCAAAAAAGGCACTTATTACCCACAAAAAATATTAAACAACACACGCACACAAGTTAAATTAAGTACAAAAACTCGATCACAGATGGTCAAAAATACAATTTTGGGAAGTCCCGACGGTTCCAGATTGTCCCGTCGGACCTTCCGCCACCACCACCAAATGCCCTCCACTACTCTAAATGCTGCGTCTTGCGCAACTGCCGCACCACGAATGAACCGCAGCACCATGTGCTCGCCCTGGGGGCATGCGGGCGGTAATTTCGGGGCTGCAGCGGCTGCGCAACCGCCGAAGAGGACCGACTGAGGTCTACGCTGGACCTGTGCGAACGTGCTAATTTGTCATGCATTCGTACGTTACCGCCGGTCAGTAGGTCCGCTGTTGCCGCCACCAGAGATGGAACAGAGACAGAGTTAAAAAGGTGCGAGAGAGACAGATAAGGGGTGGGGGGGCTCATCTCGACCTACGCTCACCTGAGTTTACGGTATTGCGGGGCTTCACGGTCGAAAAATACGCTTCGATTACCTCGAGGATCAACCCGTCCTCTTTGTAACTGAGACGAGGGCCGGGTCTACTGTAAGGGACGTGGCCGAAGGCGAGACAGGGGCGGAGCGGCGGCGAGGGGCGAAGCGACGTGGCGGACCAGCCGCGACCATGGGGCGGAGGCGGCGGCGGAGAGTTAGTCGCGGGTCGGGGCGGGGACGGAGTGCTCCCGGCTGCTACCAGCGGAGACGTCTGAAAGGGACAGAGCCAATTTAAACAAATGAAAAACGCATTTTGCGATGTTAGTGTCCGGTTAATACAGGCAAGGGCACACACAAGCTCAGTTAGACTCGCGTTAGAAAAATAACTGAAAAACTGAACAAGCAACACACGCCCTTGCCTGCACGCGTCTCCTCGTAAATCCCCCTAAGAACACTGGCCGGAATTTTGGCTTTCAGCCACCAGTGGGCGTACAAGCCTGACTTGTAAATCGGCACTTCCTCCTCCCCCTCTTCCTCTCCTTCGTCCAACACGCACCCCATTGACCTAGACTTTATCGGCCCCTCCTCCTTGGAATGCATTTTGGGCCACGGACACATATCCAGACTCGTCACAGACGTCCGGAGACTATTCCCCGAAACCGATGGTTCGGACGTTCTCGGCGTTGATCCGAACGGCGATGTACAGGGACATTGCGCCTCGAATTCCGACAGAGTGATCCCCCGATTCGACTCTTGGACCGAATTTGGCGAGTTTAGAGTGCAACTTCCGGCCATGCCAGAATCGGACGACCGGGGGCTGTGACACTCGACACAGCCCCGACAATATGATGGAGACATCCGCAAATATTTGGAACTGACACAGCGTCTCACGGGGCCTTGTTTGAGATCCTGGGGGTTGATTTGAATACTGGAACGTCTGCGAGTAATACTGAAAGGCTTTTGGAATTCATTCGCGAACATGGTTGGGGGCTTGATCACGGTTTGGGTCGATGGGGGGTCACTCTCTTCACTATCGAAATTGTACAACAATTCGGCGACGATTTTATCAGGTAGAGGAACGGTGTTTAGAGGCAATTCGAGACTGCTCGAGTGAGTAGTAGTACTACTATCGTTTTCCTCCAGGTCGTAGTTAATTCTCCTATTTATGTTGGTATCACTGTTTGACCATCCCGGGATGTAGATAGTCGTCAAACTGCTCGAACTGAATTTATTTCCGACAAGTTTCGTCGGACAACTCTGACGTACAAGCGGGACATATCGTTTCGGTACATCAAGCGTGTCACGTGATATGCTCCCATCCAAGTTAACTAGATCCTCACAAGCTCCAAATGGTTTCGGTACTATTCCCGAACTCGCTTCGGAATTTTCCGACGCTTGCTTGATCAGTTCGAATTTTGCACTTGTAATGACACTTTTCGGCTCTTCTGCCATCTTCACGTCGCCGTAATCGATGAAACTTTCGTATTTTGTTGCAATTTCATTCGTCTGGGGGTTGTAATACCGAATATAACCGAACGGATTACTCGAACTACTTCCGGAAGAATCCGATTGGATAATCGCGTTTTGTCTTTTAATTAGCGTTTCGTTACTGTCCGACTCTTCATCAGAGTCACTATCACAATTTATCACACTGATCCGACACTGCGCCGACTTTGCTATTATGACGCATTCGGACTTATGGTGTCTTATCCTTACCATGGCCAAGTTCATTCGATTCAAATACTCAGGATAGAGTAATTGTTTCAAGAGTTTACGAGTGATTAATTTATCTTTAATACACTTTGAGAAGTATTTGGTGAGAGACGCGAAAGGGGCACATGGAGGGTATGTCTCAGGGGGGTACGTCGTTTCGTATTCGATCGAATTTTGGTAGCACAAAACCGACACTCTGGTTGAATAACCGCGTTGGTTAAGCTACACATAATAGTTTTTTAATTCACATTTTTAAAATTGTCATAAGGGGCAACCATCATTACGTTTGTCGTAGACAGTACTTTTGCAAAATTAATTATGGTGGCACCACCGTAAAATAATTCAAACGTCAAAATTTGACAAACAAGATGGCTACCCATTTTCAACATCGATTTTGACTTACATGCGGGGGCGGTTGGGGCACAAATTGTGCCTGACTGGGGGCGACTTTCTGATTATTACTTGTGGCATTCTTCGGCATATGTTTTCTCAACAATTCCACCCAATGATTCGCCTCAATCTTACTTTGACACACGGCGATTTTTTTCTCGATCATGGGAGCGCTGATCTCAAAGGCGTTTTTATACTGTTCGTTATCCTCCAATCGATTCACCACCAAACCAGACAATGGTAATTTACCCTAAAATCTCTCACTTATTTTACATGATCCTCCCTCAAAATTCCACTCACCTCATAGATAAAAGCACTGAGTCGATGACTCACAGATAATATCAGCAAAGTCGTCGGAAACATCACAAAGTATCGGTCGTGGTGTTGGGGTCCGACTGCCACCGAACCCATGTAAATTATGTCGCCCAAAGCTGCTAAACTAGGGCCCTCCCAGCCCCGAACCGGTCCCGTGAGGACTTGAAGTTCGAGCTCTTTCTGGCGGCGAGTGGCGGCACATGTAGTAGCGATGTCCTTGTAAACGGCGACGGATCGCTGGGTGTCACCGCGGTCGGGATGACACTCTTCGACGTGACGTTCGAGTTCTTGAAGCATGCCTGAATATTTATCAAGACGGCGGAAGGGCTTACTGAGGAGGACCGTCAGAACGAGGACGCCAGGACTAGTAGCGCCTCGAGATTCCATATATTTCGTCAACTCTTCTCTGAATACAAAAATAATTAAGTTGGTTTAGGAGGTGACTTAATGACTTTTGTAATTTTTCTCTTAATTTATTCTTACTTGTACTGATCCAAGATACAGGCCGCCTTGGGGTGGTGGGCGCAATAGGCCTGATTAACAGCCTTAATCCTGGGGGCCCAGGTGAGAAATAAGCGGCCTACTCTCTGCTCCAGGCCCGGCTTGGCCTGTTCTGCCTCCATCAGTTTTAATAATTGTTGGTGCGTATCTAGGACCTCCGCGATATTCCCAGTCAACTGTTTGTACTCATCATTGGTCAATCTGCAAACACCTGTCTTTTATTTATGCTCCATAAATATCGATTTCTGATTACATAGCGCTTTTTTCCAGAGGTTGTAAAAAGTTTGTGACTAAACTTTCAAGTTCGGTGACGTGGGCCTTCTCCGAGTCTATCAGGTCTTTCAATACAACGCTTTTGTACTGATTTTGTTGCACCATTACGGGTTTTGGGGCATCTACAATGAAAACAATAATTTGGGAGAATTCATTATTTAGCAGTTTGTAACCTTTGGATTCCTTGACGTAATTGCTGGGGAACCAGCCTGTTTTTCCATTGAGAGTGCCTTCCCACCACCCATCGTCTTTCTGGGTGACTGTGATGAGGTCACCCTTCTTGAAGCACAGCTAAAATCATCGTAGATAACATGTGGACTGCGAAAAATTCCAGAACCTTACCTCATCGTTATTCGATCCTTTGAAAGGATAAACGGCCTGGACTACCAGTGGTTCAGTGGCCATTTTATTCTCACATGTGTACCTAACTGGGTAAACAATTCAATAAAATTATTTATGGATCTTCGATACGATTAAACGGTGCCGCAAAACTGGTCATGATGCGAACAAAAAATAATTTTGAGTACTGTCACATTCTTGGCATATACTTAGCTTTGAAGATAATTCTGGAACACGGCCAAAAATATAAAAACGCAACAAGCTCAACCACAATCCCCTCAATGAATAGGCGACCAAAATGTTTTTTTATCGCTTCGACCGGAAATGCCCACACATTCTTATAGCAAATTCGCGTTTTCGTAATAAAAACACAATTAAGGGGGCGCAAAAGTAAAAAGCATTAATTAATTTTTTTTTTAATTGGAAACGTTATTATTACCTTTCTTGAACCCAGTCGTGACTCACACTCTTGTATATAAGACTTATTATCTCAAATATAAGCGATATAAATAAATATTCACAAATCAGGATTAATAATTGTCAAAAACTTGGCTGTTATTCTGTCAAATTCCAGTCGGTAATTCAGACATCCGTAACATGAAATATATCTTTTACGCTTTTCAATTTAAAAGTAGTTTTCAGTTTTACGTAAATATTTTTTTGAAGTGACTGACCTACAATTAATTCCATATTCTATTATTTAATTACTCCAATTTTTTTTGTGTACACTGTACAGTCGCGGCCATTGAAAAGTAATACACTTGACAAATAAAATAATTTTGGCGTTGTAAATTTTCCCTTGAAATTGACAATCACTGTCATGTTTAAAATGTCACTAGAATCTTCTTCTCTCCTTTAAGGACAGTCATTTTGTTCACATTTATTTCTTCTGTGATGACTCGTATAGGGACATTGTCCCTTAATCTTGTAATAATAATAGAATTAAATTTTCCTGACGGCGTCCAGCACTGATTTGTCAAAAGTGAGGTTTACATTATGCAATTTTTTAAATTTTGAGAGGATGTGTCAAAATCCCGTGTATTACTTTTCAATGACCGCCACTGTACGCCTGTGGGGAACTTTAGACGTGGGTGCCAACATAATAAAATGAAATTCACTGTGCAGCTGTCATCGAACAGATGGACATGTCGTAATTGCATCTGCAACGTTTTTGTTATTGTACAGGTCGTGACTTGTTTAGCTGGTTATGTATGTTGAAAATTAACCGTTTGTGTAAAATTCCAACTAAATTACACTTTGTTTTTCGTAAATTTAAGGTGTTTGTGAGTGACATTCTAGAAGATTCTTCGTAAGATGGCAAAATCTGGTATGTCAGAATCTGATGTCGAGAGTGATAAGAACGGGGCTAAGTCGATGGAAAATCAAAAAACGAAACCAAAAAAATGCACCACCTCCTTAAACCTCGTAACAAAACGTCCAACTGTCTCAACACCTATCAGCATCCTCATCGAGAGCTTAGTCAAGAATCTTTGCACCATCTACGAAACAGATGCGGAAAAAGTATCAAAAATGTACAATTTGATCTGCGACCGTCTCTTCCAAATGAATCTGATTGACGAAAGTTACCACATGAATGAATTTGAGAGCATGCGAGCGGCCTACCAGCAGGCTTTTCACCACTTGTTGAAAAGCTCAATGGGGGGCGAAAACGCCGTAGCGCTCCGCCCAGTATGGCCCAACACCGACTTTATAACCTCACACTATTGTCAAGAATTTGATGAAATCGAATACATAGCTGGGGGCGGTTTCGGCCAAGTCTACCGGGTCAAACACAAACTAGATGGAACTGAATATGCTGTCAAGAAGATTCCGATTAGGGCGGAGGGAATAGAAGCCGTCAGGAATTACCTATCTGAAGTAAAAACTTTCGCCAGTGTTAACCATGCCAATATCGTCCAATACAAAGCCGCTTGGCTCGAACTGGGGGCCCCCACTGGTGGCAACACCATCACTGATGAAACCGAATCCTATACTGAAGAAATTAAGACACACATCGATGGCGAATACATCTACCATGAAACCCCAAGACATTCATTTTCAGACGAAGTTAAAACAGAAGACACTTCAGACTTTGAGGTGAATTTCGAGCATAGCATCAGCAGCGTCACAAATCGCTCAAAGAACTCACCCAAACGAGTCAAACGGAATAGCATTTCAGAGGGCGGAAAAGCGATTTGTAAATTAGACATGAAGGAAATCAGGGAGTTGAAAATGCAACAAAGGGCTAACGTAAAATGGGCCACTCTGTACATACAGATGGCGCTATGCCAGTCCACTTTGAAACAGTGGTTGGAAAGGCGAAACGACGCCGAATTGGTAGTCGAAGACGGCGATAAAGCGCTTCTTCCGGTTACAGGGCATGTGAGAAATGAGACAATTTATGAGGTTTTGAGGCAGTTACTTAAAGGTAATGATGAGTAATGATTTTGTGTGCAAATTTTAATTGATTGTTGCATAGGGTTGGAATATATTCATTCCAAAGGGATCGTTCATCATGATATTAAACCAAGCAATATTTTTATTCAGATCGAAAATGGAAATTTGTTGGTGCAATTAGGAGATTTTGGTTTGGCTTGTCCTTTGCAGAATGTGAGGCACAGTTTGGCTTTTGGTACGAAGCTTTACGCCGCGCCGGAACAACTTGATGGCAAATGTGATCCAAAGGTAAGGAGAATAAAATCGTGGTTGTGTTCATATGCAAATATTGGTTTTTGTTTGGGTAAACAAAACAATAAAAACCGTAAGGAAAATTCTCAAAGTAACTCAATTAATGCGTAATAGATTACGTCAGAACAATAAAAACATGCTGATTAACTGTTTTATCTTATTCAAGTAAATCTTAAAATTTTTATTGATCAATAAAGTATATTTTTATACAATGTAGGACCTATTTTTATGTTGAGTATGATTTAAAATTTAAACAATCACACAACGGAATAATCAAAAATCTATTTTATAGCAGAATTTTGTACATTCATACTTTAAAAAAATCTTTTTTTTTTTGGTAAAACTTGCCAGAAATTAGCTTCTTATTCGTAAATCAAAATAAAAATTTAAGGAGAATATGTATAAGAAAAAATCAAAGAATACTTTAAAAAGAACCTAAAAAAATATGAAAAACAATATTTGGCTATATGAATTATCTTTCCGTTGATGATTGGAACATACCTGTATAAACAATATACAGCGGGCAACAGAAACAAGTACATGATGTAAAGTTTATTTTATTTTTTTAAACGGAAATTACCAGGTCAAATTATTATGTTAAGAGAATTGGTAAAATACTTATTTCTGAGGCCACAATTTTTATTTGTTTTTTATTTTGGTTCTTATAAAATAAGCATTTTTGTCACAATAAATCAAAAACCTCCAACTTTTTTTTATAAAATTACCATTAAATTTGCTAGTTCTACCAACTTTAAGGCAATATTAAATATGTATTTATCACTTGTAGGCTACATCTTTTTCTTTATTATTTGGAAATTAAGGAATCTTTTTGATTTAGAAATTTTAATTACATACAGGTGATTCTTAAATAGACCGACAAAATTTTAAAACAGCTTCCCATGGATGAATGTACCTTTTTTACGTTTATATCTTTTAGGGGCAAAACCCCCTTGATCCGTGCCACTTACGGCGTTTATGAATTGTTGCAATGATCAAGTACATTTTCATCAAATTAATGCCATGGTTTCCAGAACACATCAGTGGCGTACGCTTTAATACTTACTTTACTTATATACTTTAATAACTTTAATAAATTTTATTTGGAGAACGGTTAAACAAAGAATTCTTTAAATATTTTTCCAGCATGTTCTCATTTGATACTACCAAGGATAAAATTTTGTCGGTCTATTTAAGAATCACTCATATTAGAAATAATAATATCACTATCAATAATTAGTTCTAAAAAATTTTAAGCGTGATTATTACATAATTACAATTATTTTCATAATTTTATAATTACGAATAAAATTTTCTTGTGCTTTATTATGACCCTAAAAAAAATGTTTCAAATCTACAATTTGTTTCTAAACGCATTGAAGTTTTAAAGACTTTATTAAATGATTCATTTTTTATTTTAGAGTGATATGTATTCCCTTGGAATCGTCCTATTTGAGCTAGTCGAGAGATTCCGCACCGACATGGAGCGGGTCCAATACATCGATGATTTGAGAAAAGGCAAATTACCAACACACGTCCACGTCCAACAACCACAATTGGCTCAAATAATTTGTCAGTTGATGGTAAAATATCCACAAGACAGGCCGGATGCTAATACCTTACTCAAATCATTAACTCACAATTCCGATGCTGATTATGTAAGAGAATTAGAGTGTAAACTGGCAGAACGAGATGAAGAAATTTTAAGACTCAAAGAACTACTCAAATCGGCAGGTGTTAAAAGTATCTAATTTAAGAAATCGAAAATAAACTTATTTTATATAGAGAATTATTTTAAGTTTTTTTTGCACCATTTACTTGTCATTGTCTTATGTGCAAATGTTGGTGTAAAAGACTCTGATGTTCTTAATGAGTTTTTAAATCAGTATTTTACTTACTTAATTATGGTGGGATCAATTATTTTCTGCCAAATGGGTTTGCTTGGTGTCTCAAATGCACATTTTACTGCCATTTTTTGTGCATTTACGAATTCTCTGAATCCTTAATAGTTACTACATTTAATTTTTAGTTTAATTGTTTGATGTGAGAATAGAATGATTGAAGTGTGTTTTGTACAATTTTTGAATTATTTATTGTACATTTCCATGACTGAACATGAATTGTTTTCATGTATAAATCGAAAATTGTGATACAAAAATTTGAAATAAATATTTTTTAAAAAGTTGCACCTTGTTTTATTATTCCAAATATAAATATTTTGGTTCAGTGAAACGAAAACATGTGAGTCGTGATCGAACAATTATAAAAAACCACCATCGCGGGAGACTGAAAGATCTCAAAATAAAACAGCATAGATGTCCCCAGATCGTGTTAGACTAATAGCTCAGTTTCAGATAAAACTTGAAACTGTTTACATACTCTATTTAGTGTTATCATAATTTAATTAATGTCAGGTAAGTGAAAATTTCATATACAAAACGCATTCCTCTCAAGAGACAAAAAATAAAAAGGCTTCGATTGCGCGTTAGTCATGTTTTTATGATTCATCGAATTTGCTCCTTGTTTTAAACAAAAAACCTCTCGAGGCTTCCCCCAAGCCGATTCTGGTTCCCTCCAATTACGAATTCAGATTTATTGTCAATATTTTTGCCCCTTTTTTTGGCAAAAAAGAATTTTTTCGCGTTAAAATCGCGACTTACAAGCTTTGTAACATGCGAGCGACCATCTTGTTTTTGAGTGTTATCCAACATGAATTTCTATTTTTATACAAACTTTCAACGTATAAAATGACATTTGTTTATTTTTAATCAGAAAAAATGGACACAAGAATCGCCGAAGTCAGTCGGGAGAGGTCGAGGAGGCCCATTAGAAACAAAAGATACAGCAGGTCAGGCCTTTTTCACCAACAATTTAGTAAAACATGTTTTGTCAAGTGTTACTAACACGTTTTTTATACTTAGACGGGGCTATGGCGAGGACAAAAGGCCCCCAAAAAGACTCTTCACCCCGGAAATAAAACGCTTCCTCAAAGACTGGCTGGTCCGAAGACGCGAAAACCCCTATCCCAACAGAGACGAGAAGAAAAGTTTGGCGCTGCAAACCGGACTTACTTATATACAGGTAATTGACCAATAGCGTGATTTGACCAATCATAACGTGCCACTTTCAGGTGTGCAATTGGTTCGCAAATTGGCGCCGGAAATTGAAAAATGCCGGCAAGGAGCCCCAACGTAGAACCTGGGGCGACTTGATCAAGTCATATAACAGCCAAGTGCAGGGAAACGTCGAACATTTTAGTATTTGCTCTGACGATAGCATCTGGGAGGAGCCTGACAGTGATGAAAACCCCCAACCCGATCATAGTTACACTACTTTTACCGAACATGACAACAATAATCGATTTTTTGTTAATTCTCAAGAAGCGGAAATCGAGCAAAACCCCTTTAGCCAAGCAAAGTATAAGAATCACATTATGGAGAAATATTTGCGTGATTGTCAAAAACCGGAAAAGTTCGAGTCTGGGGATGATGTGAAACCGTCGATGATTACGAAATGGTTGGAAAGTGCAGTTAATTTTACCCCGAGTGAAAATAATTATCTCCATTGGACGTTTTCGAAGAATCAGAAGAAGAAAAAGAAGGAGGTAGCCAATCAGGTGTTTCATGGGAGGGAGGAGCTTGACGCGGCGGAGGCGTTGACTAGACTAGCCAATGCGCGGGCTTTTAAAGCGTGAAATGACAATCAGGACAAGACTGCTGTCTTTTTAACGTTGAATTAATTTGCTCAGACAAAAATTTTCCATTTTTTTATTAAAAGTTGTCCAAAACAAATAAAAATCACTAGGATACTCCTAATTGTAAGATTCCTATTTTTAATAATTACTAACACTCTGTGCTGTGATTTTTGCCCTAACAATACGTTTTTTTCTGAGAATGTTTACACCTCTTCTAACCAATCTGTTATGTAGATAATAGTCGAAATTTGTTGTGTTTTTTAGGAAATTATACACTTTTATTGACTTGGTTTTTCTTCAATTTTTACATTTTCCGCTTTCCCCCAAATTTTAATCGTTTGAACGGACGCGGTTAGGACTGTGTCCTCAGTCGGGTGAACACTTAATGAATTTAATACTTTTCTAGACGTGTGGACATATTTTTGTACGACAGCCCCACTCACCAGATCCCAACAAAACAGCTCTCCAGTAACAGAACCGGACAAGACGTGATTGTCACTAGTTATAATAGCGCTTTCAATATTCATATCATCGGTGCGGTGCCCCGTGTACCTAAACAACACCCAAACATTAATAATAGTTGAGGGGGCCTAGTCACAACTTACTCTCCAAGCATCTCCCCTGTGTTTTTGTCCAACAACCGAATCGTGCTATCGGCCGAGCCCACCAACACACATTGCCCATCGTGTGAAAAAGACACCGAAGTTATCGCAGCCCCCACGAAATCCGCGTGACAACTCCCATTCCTTAGGTCATATCTCCTGACTGAACAATCTACAGATCCGGCTAAAATCTCGTGATCTGTGACTTGAATCGACGTTATGCAATCCTTGGCCTCTTTAAGAGTCTGGATGGGGCTGGTGTTGCGCGACTTGACGTCCCAACACATTATAGTGTTGTCCAAACTCCCAGAAATCGCCACTGAGGACTCCTCATTGAACTTAACACATGTCACAGTGGCGGCATGGCCCCGAAATCGTCGTAAAGGCTGTCCGGTGGACACGTCCCAAATGATCACCGATTTATCGGACGAACAAGAGACGATTTGGCTGCTATCGCATGACCCGCAAGCATCCAAGACTTCGTTCCCGTGTCCTCCGTAGGTTTTTAAAGGGAGGCTGCGATAGGGGTTCCACAGTTTCAGTTTTTTGTCCGAGCCACATGTCAAACAGTAGGAGCCATCAACTAAGAGAAAAACTTTTAAAGTTTTGTAAACATAACCTCGAAATTACCATTAAAGCGGACCGCCCTTACAGCCCCCTGCTGACAATCAATTGTGTTCAAGCATTGCAAATCCATGGCATTTTGTGCCAAACAAGCCGATTTTTTATTAATAATAGCAAATTTGCATTATTTGTAGGTTAAATTACACCGGTTTGACAGATTGAGGTTATGTTACATGGTTACGCAGGGCAGGATTGAGGAGTTTTGTATACACAAAGACGTTTTTTCCTGTAAGTACACATTATTTATTGCAGTCACTCGTTATATAAAAATACAAAACTACAATACTGTATAATATATAGTATAAATAGGTATATAAAGTCACTTTTTGTTTCGACCACCACACATTTTTGACATTGCTTTGCAATTCCATTTTTTGTTATTTTCCCGAATTTCTTGGGTTACGGTTTCGAGTGTGTTTATGAACTCTTCACATTGGTCGTCAGTATCCTCATCCTGTAAAATTTAAGTTTTGTTCTGTTGGTGACACTGACTTAAATTACCCTGTAATTGGGGGAATACCACTCCTCGATACTGCAAGTACAACTCTCAAGAGGACTCTCGGGGGGACTATTCAATGAACCCTGCGAACCCATTAACCACGTCTCTAAACATTCAACGGGGGAAGAGCAAGGTCGGTAGCTCTTTTCGTTTTTGGATTTATTGCAAGGTGTGCAATAAGTGCGTCCTGTATTCAATGACCTACAAAGAAAAATTCTCGAACTGAAAAAAACAAACCAAAAACATACTCGTTCTCTTGTTTCAATTTTGCAATAGTTTCGCAATAACACTGCGTTTTTTTCTTCACTCTATCATTGATCTTCCTTTGTTCCTCCAACCAGGCTTTAACATTATTGACGACACATCTACTCTCAGTACATAAATCATCTCGATTGTTTTTCGCATCGGCCAATTCTAACTCCAAATTTCTTATAGTCTGAGCACACGTTTCCTTCTCACGAGACAAACACTTATTTTTTTCTTTCAAATTCTTATTTTCAGCATGCAGTTTGTCCAATTTTAGCTTCAACTGTCGATTCTTTTCTTCCAGAGACCCAACAGTGTTTTGTAGACACGTCACTTGTTTGAGTAATTTGTCATTCTAAAAAAAAACAGGAATAACTCCAAAAAAACACAAATGCAATCACCTCGCTATTCAGAGCCAACTGATTCGATATCATGCTCTTTATCTCGACTTTCAACGTACTAATTTCTTCCTGTGTGGCACTGATTTCATTACATTCGCAAAAGTTGGCTACGGCTTTCTTATCTTCAATTTTCTTCTGCACCTCAAGTTTCAAATTTTCAATGAAATCGGATAATCGCCGTTCTTCCTCTTGGGAATCTTTTAATTTTTCAGTCAGTTCTCGAATACACTGGCAGTGCTCCTTCTCTTTCTTCGCTGCTTTCTTCTGTACTTCACAGACTCGTGTATCTTTGCATTTCAATTCATCGTTGAGTAATTTATTGCGAGCTTCAAGTTCAGCAACCTGTTTCTTAAGCTCATTATGCTGAAACAAATATTTCAAACTTTAGTACTCAAACACAAAACTAACCGTTTCTGCCCTCTTTTGCAACTCGCTCATTCCCACATTCTTGTTTTTCAGTTCTTCACTCAGTGATTTATTGCGCGCCTCAGCGTCTGTAAGTTTTCTCCTCATTTCGAATAACTGAAACGCAAAATTGTTTCAGGTCGTAGGAGAAATTATGTATACAAACCTTATCCTTCAAATTCTCGGCCAGTTTCTTAAACATTGAAATTTCGTCCCGACAGCCGGTATAACAGTCACAATTATCTAATTCCTTTGGTGAAATGTAATGACACTCGTCGCCAAGGGCACACTGAAAGTCGCACTCGGCCAAAGTTTCATTCAGTTCAATCAACTGGAAAATACCTTAAAAAACTGATCTCGAAAAAATTTCAACGTACTGTTTGCCTCAGTTCTATGACAATTTGTTTGCTTTTGGTCAACTCGTGTTCCGTGGAACAGTCTTTCCGACCAACATGTTTCGCGTGTTCCTTCAATTCCTTCACTTGTTTGTGTAAATGCTGATTGGCTAATTCGCTCGTGGCCAGTCTATCTTTCAGTTCTTCGTTCAGAAGCCTCAAATGTTTCAATTTATCCTTATGTTTTTCTTTCATTCTGTGCAACTCTCTCTCCATGTTTTTGACCAATTCGTACTGCTCTCGATATTCAGCTTGAAGTTTTTGCCACTTTTTGCAGTTCCGATCGACTTCGCCGCATCCTCTGTCCTGTTTTTGGAACTCGCGACAATCCAGATTGCACTGCAGCTGCATTATAGTAGCGTTTAACGAAACTACAGTACTTTGCAACTCGTGATTCTCCAAAATTGCATTTTCAAGTCGAATTTTCATATCGTTAATCGCCTCGTCGTGCATATTCAAATCAGCGTTTTTCTGGCCTATGATCAGCTGCAGTTCGTCAATTTTTGCATCTTTGAGTTGATTCATCTGGTTCTCGACTAAAGCCTTTTTCTCAGTATTGACCAAGTCGGCTTGCAATTTCTCGCTTAGTTTTTGCAGCTCGAGAACAGCACGATGTAACTGCCCATTTTCTTCCTTACACGACTTGTTAGATAAGTTCTAAAAGCGAATTTTATTCACACAGAAAACGAAATTTTCGCTTTGTTACCAAAATTTCTTGCAAATTAATGAGCTGTTCCGACATTGCCGTCATTTCGTGTTTGAAACAATCAATCACATGCTCGTAATAGCGGATCTGCTGACGCAACTTCTTAATCTCATCTTTGCCGCAAGCAACTGACTCCTAAACAATTTCTGATTTGAAATTTGCGCTTCGATTTCAATGCCCTCTGATGTGGCAATTGGCGGGAAATTTAAATTTAACGTACTAAATTTAAATTTTCCACCATTAAACATCCCCTACGAAGCTCAAGCATGCATCTACGTATTATTTTACCTCAAAGGCTCTGAACTCCTTTTGATATTTGTATAATTGCGTCTCAGAAATTGCCAAATCTTGCAAGGCGTTGAAATGTTCAACTTCGAGTTCAAAATTACAGTCTCTCAGTTTTTTATACGAATTTATAGCTTTTGTTTTTTCATCCTCGAGTATTTGTTTTTGTTCCTCCAAGTCTAACAAATTGATGTAAAAGACGTCGGATAAATACTGATAGTGACTAATCTAAAATGACTTAAATTAAGTCAAATGGAGAGTGGAGGGGAAGAATTTAAGTCACACTGTACATGCATTTTTCGAGTCGTAAAATCAATTTTATTGCATAAAAACTCGTATAAAAGCTATAATTTGTTAATTTACAGTGTATACATTTACAACTAGTGTCTTTATTTAGTTCTTAAGTACTTAAGGCAAGTGAATAAATAAAATAAGTTAAAAATAAGTTAAAATTTGTATGTACCGATAAGACACTTTGACCGCTAGATGGCACATGCAACAATCAAATATCATGCACGGGTTTAGAAACGTGATTAGATTTAGGAGTGGGATTAGAGCTTCCAAACCATCGTGCGGCCCACCCGAGACTCACTTCTTGCTGATTGTTTTGTCTCAATTCGTCTAACTCATGTTTGACACTAATTAAAGCCTCTTGGAGATTGGCAATGGTAACTTTCTGTTGCTCGATCTAGAAAAACAATTGCCAATCGGGCGCCTCACTACCTTTTGTTTTACCTCAATTCTGGCCCTTTCCTCCGACGCTTCCAATACATTAATGGAATTGAGATACAAATCGACCTTTTGCCAAAAAAAAAAAATCAAAAAGCTCAAGCATTGCGATACAAACTACTACTAGTTAAGCAGACTTACCGCCTTTTGTAGATTGCTAGCACAGCCTTGTGAGCTGGCCAAACACTTTTCCAAGTCGACACACTTGACTTTGAGTTCGTCCACTTCGCGCTGTCGACGCGAGATTTCGTCTTCGAGATCTTTTTCGCGCCGTCTCGAGGCCTGTAACTCAAATTGGACTACGTTAAGTGTGTTGTTTTGGCTGATGTTGTCTTTGTTTTGGATCTGCGACAAAAAGTAGGCGTTAGTTGGGACGTGTAGTGTGATTTTTACCAATTGGGATTTTTTTATTACCGATTTGTCGTCCATGTCCGTGAAGGTCGTCGTCACATCCACCTGGAGAGGAGATAGCAGTGTGAAAGCTTAGAATTTAATATTTTTCAAACTTACGCAAGGTTTCATTCGTCTTATCAGTTTTTGGGCCTCTTCGAGTTGTTTCTTCAGGGATTCATTCTCATTGTTCTGAGAAAAATACGAAGAACTCAATTACTATCAAAACAATAGAAACAAAATTTGAAGTCGGAATGCAAACAGCCGGAAACATGATAAAAAGCTGTGATATTTAATTAATTGATGTGGGGGGGTTCAACTCTGTTCAATGGCAAAATTCAGTCTTAAGTTTTTTGTACAGAAAAAAATAGCCTCTTAAAAGGAATTGTGCGAAAAACAATTATGTATTACTTTTTCTTCTAAACGTTATTGACAATTCCCCCCCACAGGAGTATGATTCTCTCTCAATAAAAAACGAGATACAACAAGAAAACATTTATTTCACAAAACTGCAGCAAAACTAATTAAGACTTTTTTCGAGTTTTTTCAAAAACACCATCAATACAGAATTCGCAAATTTGACTTCCATTATTTTAATAATTTCGTTTCCTCTTGCGCAGTCTTCTGAATTAAACTTTGCTAACTCCGCGTTATACAAGTTCTGTAATATTTCAGTGTTATCAAACTCCAAACTTTTACTTTGCTTCGTGAGGAAATCATTTTGCTGGAAAAATAGTTGGGTCATTTGATCAAAAATAAGTTTTCTAATTACAATTTCATTGTTTTCATTAAAAGTCAATTTAGAAAGCAATCCTTTGATTATGTTATAAAGACTCATTAGCAGCAGACTTTTTGAGTTGTTATCCTCCTCCAACTCCTTAATTTTATTTTGCGATAATTTATGCCTCACATAAAATTGTTTTACTTTTTGCTTCAAACATTTTACTTGCTCTAAAATTTTGCTGAATTCCGAAAACTTTCCACTGTGAAGCGTTGAGCTTTCCTACAAATTAGTTCACTGTATTTTCCCCTGCCAAAATTCAACATCATATATTTATCAGTATATTTAACAATAACATAAAAAATAAAACTAAAAACTAGATTCAATCAATGCAGCCTTGACCGGAAACTTGATCAAAAGTTTTATTAAAACTCGTCATAGTAAACTTTGATTTTTCCTTGACCGGAACCTCCGTCATATATGACGGGACACTTTCAGTCTTGCACAACTCCACATCTTTCCTTTCACTTTTTTTACTCTCATCGATAAAAATTACAGTCGAATATTTGGGTTTTTCTGAATTGCGACTATGTCTAATAGTTGTCAATACGGTCTTATCGTGACTTTTCCACTTTTTAAGAGGGAAATCGGGGCAAATCTGGGGAAAAAAGGGAGACTTGGGGACAAATCGGGTTTATCACACTTACCTGTTGCTTCAGCTGTTTTATTTCCTTCCGCAACTCTTTGATAATATCGTCTTTGAAGGCTGTCTGTTTGTCAGCCTGGACGCACCGCTCCTCCAACTGTTGAATGTCTTTTTTAAGGGCTGAAATCATGTCATGCTTGCAGGCCACTTCTTCAGTTAGGGCGCTCCTCATATCCAACATCGACTAATAAAACAAAATAAAAATAAGTAGTCTGTTAACAAACAATTAAATGTATTATCACTTACTTGCCTGAGTGATTCATATTCGTCTGTTTTCTTTTTCAACTGTTGAAAAACATCATCGCTCACTTTGCTATTTTCATTTTCATCGATCGATTCGCTTAAATCAAGTGTCATTTTTTAAAGTCGCAATTCAAGGATACTTACTCGGCTTTCGCCTCGGACGGTGGCCCCTACAATAGAATAAATGAATTAAAACAAGGAAAACATGAGGAATGGTGTATTTAAAAGCCGATTTTTTTACAATTGTTGTACAAAAGTGCAGGACAACGACAGGGATTACAAGGATAAGGACGACTTGAGTGTTTGGGGGAGTCGTGACCACACCTACACTTGTCTTTGTTTTGTTTTTTTCGATTATCTACCACTTGTAGAATCAATTTTACTGTATTTTTGCCTACCTTTCTATTATTTGCCTCTTTGGAACCCACCAGAGCCAAATTTCTTTCCCTAAAATAAAAAAAAATGTTTAAATTAAATTGCAATCAACAATTTTTATTTGTATTAACAGGACTTTTGAGCTTACTTATCATTGCAGTCACATTGTTCTGTACCAAACAAATCTTTATAAGTGACGTCATAAAATTGCAATCCATCGATACTCCACTTGCGATCGTCCCTAATTCTCCTGATAAATTCCAATAAGTTTTTCATGTCATTTTCCAGGTAAAAAACTTTCTGGAAAGGCTCATCTAAATTGTGTGTAATACTGTAGTTTTGGTACCTTTTCATCACCTGCAGAAAAATCTCCACTGTATCACTCAACAACGATTTCACTGTAGGCGAGGAAAATCAAAAGCCCGTCCGGAAAAACCGCGAAAAACGCCCGAAAAAATCGGCTTTTTTTTTCAACTTACTTCATAGGCACTTTTCGAAGTCTGCCGCAACTTATCCTCGAGCATGCGGACTCTAGTCGTAGCCTCATCTTCCAGTTCTTTGACAATTTTCGCCATCATTTGTGTTTGTTCAGTGAGATCGTCAATCCATCTCCTCTGGATCTTCAACTTGAGCTAAAATTCAAATTTGGCGGGTTAGTAAAGATGGCGCTTGGAATGGTGTCAAGAGCAAACCACACCCACCGCCCCTTGGGAAATGGGGTTAAAAGGGGTATGAACGCACCTCGAGGCAGTCGCCGCCCCCTTGGTGGTCGATCTCGTTGAGTTTGCCCTCGTAGAAGCTGCGGAACTGTTCCATGACTTCCAGGGCGTCCTGCTCGCCGCATTTTCCACTGGTGGCGAAGACGGGGCAAACATAGCTGTCGTTGGATTTGGACATTTTTTCAGCGAAGGAAACGTAAAATTTTAATTTTCGTGCTCTTGTTGATTTAGTGGTGCGATATGGACGGCATGTTTTGACGTTTGTGTGCCCAGCTCACTTTTCCCCACTACGTCGCTTACTGCGTTTAATGGGGACGAAAATAGATTGGGACCCCAAAATGATGGGCTTTGCACTGATTGAAATCAAGGCATAAACAACATCAAAAGACTAAGAACTGCCAGTGTTTACTAAAAGAGTGGAACTCAAAGTGTACATAAAATCTATTCTTAATTTTATTTTCATGAACATCTTTAAATTCTTTGAACTTTTAGGGGCCTATCTCATATTTTTTAACAGCCTTTTTATCTTTTTTTTTGAAAGTTTATCACATTCATTGATAAACCTTTTATCTAAAGATCAGTATGTACTTCGTTTTTTAAATTTATGCTTTGAATTGTTATTTTGAAATTTTTATCTTTTTGTAGCTTTTATGCATTGAATTGTTATTTAGAAAGTTTTATTTTTTGTAGCTTTTATGCATTATTGAGGCTTTTAGAATTTTATTAGGATTTTTTCCAGATTCTAACACCATGGACTACAATTTTTTTCAAAATCATGAGTTACGAGTACATTTTTTTCTAAATTTAAGACTTACAGGACAAATTTTTTCTCAAGATGGTGAAAACCTTGAAATAATTTTATAAATTTTCCTTAAAAAATATTTTTTTTATATACACTGACTCCTAATTCCTGTTTACGAGTCAGTCAGTCTGTAATTAAATTATTGCAAATAAGAATAGTGAAAAAACTTTAATTAGTGATGGCAAGAGTGCACTTTTTGTATTATGTTTAACGAAACAACTACGTCACAAGTGAAAAACAATGGATACATTCAATATATTGATTATTGTTATTGATTTCCAATTGTTTCATGCCTGCAGCTTATTGTGTTTCGCTTTTGGGAGGCATTGTGCAGCAATGAAAGAATAATTTTTTAAGCTTATTGGAAAAGAAAATGTAAATGAGAGCACAATGTTCATTCAATAAGTGAAAGGCTCACTTGTCTGCAATTTAATTAAAAAAAACCTTTTTGAATTATTCTTTGATAAGGTATCATTCACTTTTTATATTTAATTTTTAAAATATAACTGTTTTGATAAAAATTCGACGACTTTCGCAACAGATTTATCTTGTTCTTTTGAAAATACGCTCAGAATAAGAAGTTAAATTTTTCAAGATCTAATTTTGTAGCTTAGAAGAAGAATCGTGGTATCTCTAATTTATTGTTAAATGGAGTAAGTAGTTAAGCACTTTTTTGATATGCCAGAAGCTCAAATTTTACTTTAATCTCCGTTTAAACAATGAAGATACGATTCTTTGCCTCTAAGGTGTAGAATTAGTTTTGGAATATTTTTTGTAGAATAGAAATGTTTTGGGTTTAATTTACCACATTGTGATAAAATCGTAACTTGTTATTTTTGTAAATATTCAACGCGGGTGGGGGCAAACGAGTTTCTATTGTAATAACTTTATTGAGTATGATTTACTTCCTGTACAATCAGTTTCTGTGCATACAGAATAATGATAACCATATATAAGCAAGCAAATAAAATTATTAATTAATAATAAATTTAATTATATTCAAATATAATACAGTGATACTCATGGATAAAGAGACATCCATACCATACGATATTAGTTTTCCTCATTTTTAAAATCTGTACAACCACCTTACTACATTGTACATCTACTAAATTATATATATATACGAATGTAGGACTAAAAGTCTCGGAGATCGAGCAATATTTGTCGGCTTCTAAGGCCCCAAAATCTTGATAGAGCCCGAGACTGGATGACACATGACATATAATGAGCGGTTTTTGCTAAATTCTTTATTTAAATAAAAAATATTACCATATATAGTACTAAAAAGGTTTAAAATTCCAGTCATGCATCATGTTAAGAATGAAAAGGTTTCAAAACAATGCGGAGACTGTCAATTTTATATTTTTTTGACTCGAAAACATTAGGTAATTTGAAAAACAGTAAAATACACGCAAGTTGTAACGATTTATAATTTACACTCAACACAAGTATAAATTTTAAATCCTATCAATTAGATTGACAAAACTTTTTGAAAGCTTACGTGACTCATAATTGCACTTAATCCAAACTGAGAAGAACCGAATAAAATTTGATTTGAGAGTGCTTAAATTTCGTCAATCCAATTCTACACTGTCAAATATCAAGTTTGAATTACTCTCTAACTCAAAATTATTATCACAAGATTTTTAGTTACACCAACTTGCTATAAATAAAATTCTTAAAAAACGATCCGACTGAAATGCAACAAAGTGATTAGGATCTGATCCTAGAGAAAAAAAATAAGTGACAGTGTACTGAGTGTTGTAACGGTATTAATAAAAGGGCTTCTTATTACACTTATATATCACTAAAGTGCGACAGCACAGTCCAGTCCCTTCAACTCGATTAAAGACACAAATCCGGGCGGCGGGAGGGGCCATCACTTGCAACAGTTGCCTGCGGCTTTAGCGCCCGTGTCGCCCTCTGCCAGTCTTCTTCCTTGGCCACTCGCACCCTGGGCTGTCGCCTGTTCGTTTTTAGGGAGCTTCTTGGCTGCAACGTCACAAATGCGTCACTATCTCACTTAATCTCGTTAGCCTAACAACCTCCCACGACTATTTACTCCATTGAAATTTCAAATTCTTTCATTTTTTAACATAAAAACAACCATCCCCTCAACGGGTGCACCAAATTTACTGTCAACTTCGAAAAAATTCGAGGATGACACACTGAACATTCCTAATTGAACATACTAACCACTTGTCAAACAATATTTTGAATATTAATAAATTGAAATAAGATGACAAAAACTTTTCTTTACGTGCGTTTCGAATTTCCAAAGCGTGAAAGCACCGCTCAGCCAAGCTTGAAGAGGCCGAAGACCCTTAACGTACCTATCGCCAAGAAAATATCGTTGACATTCATGGCCGTCTTGGCCGACGTTTCCATAAAGAGCAGTCCGTTTTCGTCGGCGTACGTCTGTGCCTCCTCGAACTCGACCATCCTCTTATTGGCTAAATCCTGCTTGTTTCCGGCTAACGCGATGACGATGTTGGGACTCGCCTGTCGCTGGAGTTCCTTCACCCACGTCTTTGCCCTTCCGAACGTATCTTGATTGGTGATGTCGTAGACGACGATAGCTGCCTGCGCCCCCCTGTAGTACATCGGGGCCAAACTGTGATACCTGCACATTTTTTTATTTAGGAAATGATTTTTTGGCATGAGTTTCGAGCTATGACCTTTCCTGGCCTGCAGTGTCCCAAATTTCGAATTTGACAGTGGTGTCGTCGAGACATACAGTCTGTGTGAGGAAGGCGGCGCCGATGGTGCTCTCCTGGTATTCGTGGAATTGACCCTTGACGAAACGCAAGACGAGACTGGATTTACCGACGGCCGACTCGCCGAGGAGCACCAACTTGAACTGACAGATTTTGCCCTGTGTCGAGCCGTTGGGGCGCTGGGCTGTTCCGGTCCTGTTTGCCATCTCGGCTAAGCAAATGGGCAAAATTTAATGAAACGCAAACTCATTTGCGACATTTTAAAATTTACAGGAGCCTTCCCTTATGTCTTGTCATATTATTTATCAAATTTTACAGCATTAACGCAAAAATATTTTATTTTATTCAATACTTTTTCCAGTGCCTTTTAAATGCCATAATAATTAAAGGTCAAAGGACAACCTCCACGATTTATTATCACTTTAACTGTGCTTGACTGCAATAATTCAATATTTTATTTCAAATTCGGGTTGTACTGAATTAATTGAAAGTCAGTAATTTATTTTTTGTCAAATTTTAATATTAGCCACACGTTTGAAATGGTTTGACAACACTATTATTATGTCATTTCCCTATCTTATCAAACGATATCGTATTTAAACAGGATAGATAATTGAATAAAAATATTAAACATTCAAACTGAAAAATATCCTGAGTGAATTATACCAACAATGTAGCTGTGGGATAGGTAAACCAACTATCAGGCTCCACTAAAACCCTAAATATTGGTGAGATTCGACCTATAACTGTGATGTTTTCAGGCCTTCAACTCCTCACAGAGAAAATACTATATATTGTGTTTTTTTCTTTAAAAATACAACATGAAGCCTACGTATATGTAGCAAATAAAAATAAAAAAGAATTCGTTGGCCGTGAAAAAAACTAAAAACAAATGATGTAGTAGAATTCTAGCTCAAATTTTGACGCAACAATAAAAAAATAAAACAATGTCTCATTCTACACACTGATGAAAACATTCATAAAACAAATAAGAAATTTGATAATGTGTTTTCAATTTTTGTAAACATTTAATCACGCAGTGAAATTCTATTCTTCCAGTGTGAAACATAAACTTGAAAAAACCGAAGGTAATTGAAAAACAATTCTGCATTTTATAACTCACTTGTAGTAATTAATTAGACAATAATTCATTAATTTAAATTTCTTCATTATAACAACAGGAATGTTGAAATTCGTATTTATTTCATAAAGGTTTAGTAAACAATTGTGTGTTAAGTAATAGCATTTAAACACTTAATAATTAATAATAAATTTGAACAAAAAGGTATTTATTTTGGGATAATTGATAAGATCAAAATCAATTCCTTATGAAGCCAGGGACGCAGTGACGTCACTTTCCATAATTTAGTTAACTAGTTATGATGGTATCATAACCAGTTTATATTTTATCAAAGCCACCCTTGTGATAGTGCAATAAATTCAGATTTCTTTCCTTCGTCTAGATGACTAATCGGAAAGCTATTCATAACAATAACAGTGGCATTGGAGGGAAAACCTGGCACAAATATAATTTCAGAATAATCAAATAATGCAACATATCCGGCCTTGTAAATCATGAAAGCACGTCTCCTCAGAGAAACCATCAACTTGCAATAATGCAACCAGACTCTTCTCTTGTGTGACAAAAAAAGACTTTGCTATCGGATTTGGTAGAAATTTTAACAAGTTTGTTGTGCGATTAATGTAATCTCTTATCTCTGGAAAATGTTCTGGTAGTCGTCGAGTGGTCATTGTAACTATGTTCGTAAATTATCTGTTTATGCAAGGCAGTCTGTGCGGCATTAATCCCCGATAGGGGCTTTACAGCAATGACCTATAACACATAATAAGAGAGCTGATAACCGCGTCGTGAAACGTCGAATTAAAAAAGAAGGGGGCGTATGGCTCTCAAGGCTCCGGGGTTCAAGGGCGTCGTTGTCCGCAATCAGCTGACATTTCTAGGGCCCCGCGAACAGTTCTATCAACAGGTGTGAGACTCCGTTACAATCAGACACAAAACACCGAGATTTACTTTAATGCGAATGACGCATTTGACATAATAAAAAAAACATCATCTCCACACATCTAACCTTCCCTCTTGGCTCTACTCTACTTACTTTAGATAAATAGTTCACGTTGCACTTATACAATTACTGTTTTTCTTCCTCATAAAAATACTTTTGATCGATTTTATTGTTTTTTAACACGATAGCACCAATTTACTACACACAATGAACAAAAATTAGTGACACACAAAATGACAGCTCCGGGCCCGACGGAACTGCGTTGCCAACATTGATACCAAAAATCTCCAAGCTTTATTCACACAAGTCTTTTCCAAAACTTAACTAAAATAAACCCCAATTTAAATTTTATTGCAACTTTAGTCTTTATTTTAGCAAAAGCATAACAATTCAATAAATTTAACACCTACATTTCACAAAAGTGCTTACTCCCCTCCAATCCACTAGGCGCTAAATTCAAATCTGGTAACTTTTCAAAATCAGACAAGCATAAATAAAAATATTTATTCAATACAATTTATATACAAAAAAGTGATTTATCTCCTACTCCTATGCTTCCTCTCAGTACTCTTACGCCGCCTCCGGTCATCTCTATCACGTGACCGTCTCTCATCACGACTGTGTTTCCTCGAATCTGTTTTTCTTTTTTTCTCATCATCTGACGCCTCTTTTATCGGCTTTTTCTTCTTCTTTTCTTCCTTCTTCTTACGTGTTTTTTCATCTTCAGAACTTGACGATTCTGAATCACTACTATCGGAACTGGATGAGCTTGAACTGCTGCTGCTGCTACTACTACTAGAGTCACTTGATTTCTCAGCAATGCTCAAAGGATTAACTTTGGGGGCTGTTTTCAAATGTTCTCTCAATTCAGCAGTAAGCCCCCCTAATCCAATCGACGTGAAAAAATTAATCGCAAATCGTGTATTTTTCGGATCATCGCGCGGAAACAGCCCCTCAAAATGTGGCTGGAGCGTCCTGAAATAAAAAACACAAATCAACAAAATTTTAACAAATAGTCACAACACACGTACGCGTCTTTAAGCCTGGCATTTAACTTCTCCAACCCCATGTATTCGGCCAATTCTTGGAACAAAATCTTGATGAAAATGCGATTTGAACTATTAGTATCCTCTTCGTTCAGTTTCATAATTTCTAAAACTTCCCATCCAATAGCATCAGTGAACAACAAATGTGCAAAAAACTTGCTAACATTTCGTAATTTATTTGTGTCAAGTCTGTGTGTTGTGGCGTACGTGTCTTTGAAAATTTGTTGGAACGGTTCGACATAAATCTGGTTCACTTGACAAAATCTCTGTGCTAATAAACCGTAAAACTTCTCGTAAGTTCGTTGTTCGGCACAACAGTCGAGAAACATGTGACACAATTCGATTTCTTGGCCCGGTTTTAGCTCCATTTTCATAAGTTTGTGGGCACTCTCCTCAAAATCTAAACTTGATTGAATGGTCAAGTAGATTGTTCTTCTTAGGGCTACTAAATTGGTTTCGGTATTGTCGATTATGTTAGATTCGTTCTTTTGTGTTCCTTCCTCTTCTTCGTCCTCATCCTCATCGTCTTCTTCATCACCGGACTCTTCCTCAGAACCAGAGCCTGACTCACTATCCATGTCCAGAATTTCCTTACTCAAAGTCTTGTATTTCCCCTCGTTTTCCTCATAATTGTCGTCAAATTTAAAAACATCTGCACAAAAATTCAAATAATTAATCAAAAATCGGTTTGATTAAAATAATCTTACTTAAGATATCCTCGGCATTTGATTGTTTAACATCATCCAACGTAATCAAATGTGTGAATTGGTGCTCCTCATCCACCAAATCCAATTCTTCTATGACAGCGGCGTGATCTTTAAACCCGTCTTTCCGGATTTGAAACATGACTTCAATCATGTATTGAATTCTCGGTTCCAACTTTCCCTCATGTAAAATATTCCTCAACATTTCAAAAATCGCATTAATACCTTTACTCGAAACCTCTGTCAATTTCTGCCCACATTCTTTCAAAAACGAAATCGCAACTTCAACCGAATCATCAGTTGGAGTCTCCACCAAAAGTGTCAAAATCTCCAAGGCGAGAATCTCATGAGCCACCCTCTGATTGACCAAATGGGCGACAAAAGTAGTGGCCGAAATGCATATGATCTTATTATTTTGCTTAAAACCTCGTTTAAATTGCAAGACCAATCTTTTCAGTAACAATTCTCCGATATTTGGAAACTTTGAATTGATAACTGCGACTAGGGCTGCGTACACGTTTGTGAAGGTCGGCGACGCGGCTTGTGCCTGTATTATCGACTTGCAAAGCAACCCACGCCCCCTTACAACATTCTCATGCAATAATTCCCTTGAAATAATCCCAATATTCGACGTATTCACCTTGTTTATAAACCCATGAATGGATTTCTTCAACGCCTCCCATGCGATCCTCTGATACGCCGCTGAACTCTTATCAGTAATCTCCGCTTGCATCAACCGTAGTTTCGCGGGCGGGATATAGGCCCCACCTGTCCGTGTCAACAAATCTACAGTTTTGCGTTCGCGGGGAGCTATCACTGATTTATCCCCTTCCTTCTCGTTTTCTTTTTCCACCTTGTCTTTATCTTTGTCTTCCGGTTCACCCCCGTAATATCTACTACCCACCTGGTTATCATCCTTACGGGGGTACTTGGTCCAGTACCTATCACTGTTCTTCTTATGTTCCTGGTCCTCGCCGTAATACCGGGGGTAATCTTCGACGGGGCGATCCAAATCGTGGTATTTGCGACTGTTACGACGGTCCCGCGATCGTGAACGGCGGGAACGCTTCCGGGAATCTTTGTGGGGCGAGTCGTCGCGGCGGTGCTTTTTCCGAGAGTCGGGAGATTTTGAACGACTTTTACGTTTCGGCTTGGGCTGCGGGGAGGTTTCAGTATCGGTAGTCATTTTTAAAGCACACACGGGAACACCACAGCGAAATGGGGACGATTATTGACACAACATACAACAACGCAAAAATTTAAGGTTATGTTTGGCACTGGTGACAACGCCAAATTCCCCAATGGGAAAAGGAGTGTTCAAATTTCTTGTTTCTTTAAATAAAAATAAATATATTTATAATTAGTCTCACAATTTCACAATTATTACCTTATTCAGAATTAATATATTGGTAAAAATTCATTTAATTTAAGAACTTTAGTTACAATAGTGACAAAAGTAAAATCCCTAAATAATTTGAATAAAGTTGTCTTACTTTGATTTATACATTTTCAGAAAAAAAATAAAACTTAAATGAAGGACTTTGCACTGTCTGCTTCGACTTTCTTTATTTTAATGTTTGAAATTGATTATATAACAAGATACTCAATAGTAATTCTATTTTTTATCCATTATGTTTCTCTGTACACTTCCAAAAAAAATTAATAAACTTAACAAGTAAACTTTCGCTTTTTCTGCAATAAAAATGTTTGTCGTTTACGACCACATGCAAAAAACTATAATAGTGAGTAATAGCAGCTCTAGCGTACAATTAAAATTTTTATGGCACAATAACAAGTCCAGTGTTCGATCAGTTTCACAGATTTCTCAACAATACTTCTTCCGTAGTGGAAAGACCGTTTTTATGGCATAAACTGAAAGTGTTACAAGGTATTTTATTCAACTGAATCAGCACATTTAAAATATACCTACTTTCATCCTCCTTTGGCAATTTTTTTTCGTTGTATTTTTAAAAATACCACGTTTGGCGGGGAAAGATGAGGTCACGCATTTTAATTTTGTGGAATTTTGCTGCGACCTCTCATGAATATGTGAAATGTTTGCGTGTACCATATTTTAATAAACAGTTTCAACAATAAACAGTGCGAATGCAGCGTTTTTGAGGCATTCAAGGTCATTGCCAAGTGAACTTAAACCCAACTCCAGCTGTTTCAAAGATCGACCAACGAAACCAATCCGTACAAAAGAGCCCGAGGCTGCTTTATGGAGAGTACCCATGCTATGGCAATTCAGTTGGTTCTCAACCTTTCGGTGCCGATACCGTGCGCGTTCTTCTCTCCCATTTTCTAAAAAATTGCCCAAACTTTTTGTATTTTTTATACACTAATTAAAAAATAGTGCCGGGTTGGTGTAGGTACTAAAGGTGCTGGGCCCAAGTTTGCGACTTTTCTTTGTCATCTTGTTTGGAGTAATTTGCAACAAGTGGAATTTGCAATCATGGTAAATAATTAATTTGCACAAAGCGAACATTTTTTTAGTAATTTTAATCATTGCTTACTCATTTGAATAGTTGGCACCCCAAAAGAATTTTAATTATAGTTTTGGGTGCAGTTCTGATAATAAACAGGTCACAAAAGGGTTATCATAAAATGCGCACAAAACGAAAAATAAATCTTCCAAAAGCCGTCTCGATGATCCTAATCGCAATAATGAGTAAACCTTTTAGTGGTCAACTTATCGACCCAAATACGTCATTAAAAAACCACTTATCATAACGCATTTTAACATGTTTCTGAAATAATTAGTTTTCGTCGAAAGAACTCTATTGTATTTTTTTGGGTCGCGGAATTATGTAAACGTGATGTCATTTGTTTAACATTTAAAAGAAACATTACCATAAAAATATTATGCAGTACACCTCCAAGCATTAGCATGTGTCGCACTAAAAGCTAAAAATATCGTATTTATGACTAAAGCCTTCGAGAGGCATCAAAGACCTTTCGGTGGCTGCTTCCGAAACTATTTTACCTGAGTTCATGAATTAGCGCCACTGAATTAGGTGTGATTGACGGTGGACCACCCTTATCTTTCACAATGAGAAAAATTTCGATTCAAAAACCCCGAAATGTTGTTTTACAAAAAAATGTACAGAGGTTTAACAGTTAAAATTACATAGTCTAATAGACCTATATTTTTTAATGCTGACTTGGGAATTCCTTTTTCGATTTTTTTCACCCACATGACACCAACTAACTCAACAATTGTTAAATGAAATTATTAATTCAAAATATTAAGTAGATTGTTTTGTTAATTGTACGCTTTTAATATATAAAACTTAAAAAAATAATCATACTTAGCATTTTTATCCTAATTTAAAAATCATTGAATTTGTTTTATTCTTCAGGGTCAAAGATTCTGGGCAATGTAATAATGTTTACTTTAGTTTGATGTTTGGCAAACTTTTAACGCCAAACATTCATGAAGCAAAATTAATGCAAATATCAGTTTTCTCATGTTAAAATGACTGTAAATAACATACAAGCTTACAATCTTTACAAAAATTTAAAAGTTGGGATTTTTGTAGTGACGACAAGACTTCATTGCGAGAGCGGTCATCAATTAATGTTACCACATTTTAGTCAAATTTTAAAACTTTGTAGATGTAGACATCACTATCTTTGTTTAAATATATACCTATCACGTGCTTTGTCTATTGTCCTAATCTCTTTGTGTGTGGTTATTGTTTTTTAATTTCCAGTTATTGTTGCCACTACATGTATTTAATTTTTTTAGGGTATTTTACTTCCTTGGTGTCCCCGCGTAAGGTCTTTAAATCAAACAATACGCCCACATTGGGCGTCGGTGATCTGTAGGCGTAATGGATGTTTGAGCAGAGTGTCATCTCATTTCTTTGTTTACCTACAAGGTCTTTGATTCTTATAGGGGATATAAATTGGTCTTTTCGTACACCCTACCAGCTTTCAGTGATTTATTTATAGCCGGAATTGTTCTTTTATTTGTTTTCCAGACGCCTGGTCTTTACCAAATGTCTTTTCTATAAATATCTTTAATTACTAATTAAGACATGATTAATCGGCGCGCTCTAATTGATAAACGACGGCAAAAATTAATTAAGTGATAAGTGTGCAGGTATCGAGGGTCGTCAGCCCGATTTCCGCCCCTTCTGCACCAGATGTTGGTAGAAAAACTGAAGACGTCATCATTTGGAGGATTTCCTGTGATCTTGTATCCCACACATAACGTCACAATTCTCAATTGAAAATTTGCAAAGTGACGAACAAAATAAAATAAAACGTTGAAATCCGCCTCTGCATTGGCCGTTTCGTTCTTCAATGAACTTGCTTTCTTGCACCACAATGAGCATTCAAACGTAAAATGCGCTCTTTGCCAGATAGACGTGAGCCGAATAATAGAATCGGGTCAGTCTGATTTAAATTTGTCTTAATTAATTTTAGTTTAATCAGGTTCAATGAGATTCGGTACTTCCGGATTTTTATGCAGTTGCCTGAATGCATTCCGGACTTACTCACCCGGAGCAACTGTGAAATACGCCCATAAATGGTTTATTTAATCATCGGTGGGAAAACTAGTTTGCGTTTCCTGCGGCTTACATTTGCATTAAATGCGACGAGACATTTTTATCGATTTTTCCGACAGGGAAATTAAATTAACATTGCCTTAAAGAAAAAGTTTGCGGGTATGCAACCAACCGTACGCCTTGGTTTTTTGCATTGAAAGGCGTTGATTCAATATCCAATTATTGCAATGCACTCAAGAAGGTCGTCACGGTTGGGCATTCTTCCGCCAATTAAACACCAAATTCCGAACCTTATCTTTTATTAGCGCAAAAACAGCAATGAAGTTACTAAAAATAAACATGGTATTTGAGGGACCTTAAATAGGCCCCAAGCACGCACTTTGTGGTTTTTTCAGGATTGATTGCGATTGTAAAATTTCAGGAATTGCTGAAACAAGCTGACACGACGAATTTATTCAGTCTTGGGCAATCAGAAGCTGGGAAAGCAGTGGCTGCTCGTTAGCAAACGTATCATCAAAAATGATTTAGATACATTTTTTTAATAAAACTATTTGGAATTTCCGGAGTGGATTCTTACAAGTTGTCTATTTTTATTTCTTTTTAATGTGCAAAAAACCTTTTTTTAACAGGTATTTTCAACTCAAGTCTAACATTTTTCTGCTTGTAGTGGAACTATTACGACCAATCACTTTCCGTTGCTCACTATGCTCATTAGATCACATGGCTGATGACTCTCCAATCAACGCATTTCTAGATTAAACCACGCCCTACTGCGACCATGACACTTCTCTTTCACTGAAAATAAGTATAATATATTTTTGTAACTGCACGTATTGCGGTTTCTCTTGTATGACCCGCCACTGCTGCTGTAAAGTACGCAATCTAAAAACGGCAGTAAATGGCAAACGAATAGTTTATTTATATTTATCCTCAGCACAGGAACAGTGCTGCCTTTCATGAGATTTATGTTTACAGACGATAAAAAAACGCAAATTGGTATTAAAGCGCACGAAGCATTTCACACGCTTTTATTATTCCAAGAACATTACAAATTGACATTATTACAGTACTCCGACCGGTTATTATTTAATAACAATTTAATTGCGGTGACCTCTGCGACCAACAACATTTGTAAAAACGATCGGAAATTCAATTAATTCGCATCTAAACAATGCGATTCCGATTCCGGGTGCGGGCCACATGTGACGGTTTGAGGAAGTCTTGTTAGGTGTTTCTGTGATAAGGATTGCAAAAGCGTCAGGTGCTTATCATCGCGGTGCCTTTCAGTCGGATGTATCAAGTCGAAGTGTTTAGTGCGCTTCCAAGTTAAAAACTCTTCGGCCAACTCTCATCTCATTGCCCTCAAGCAGCTGCAGTTTATAAAGGTATGCGTGACTCACGACGATTTGCTCTCGCTCTTCAGTCAACATGAAATTCTTACAACAACTGCATGTGTGTGCAGATTTGTGCCGTATGGATCAATGCACCTGATCTGTGGTGAAACAGCCATTCCCGGTAAACTTACAACTCTTTGATACATTGCGCAAAATTCATTCTTATCAAGCTGAGACAACTCTGCATATCTGCGAGATGAGTGAATTTTTAGCAATTAATTTTATCGGCAACTCACACCTAAATCGATCTACGAGTACGTTACATTTCACTCACCCACCGAGATAAAAATATTCCTGATAAGATAATATATGCAAACAACAGCCATTCCCATTACAATTTGTTAAATTGTCTTGTTCTTAGAAATGTAAAGTAGCTAAAACACTAAAATCGATCTTTATTATTAATTATTTCCTTATTATTTCTAGGAGTTTCACTCGACTCGCCGAGATGACCTCATCGGCCGCCATAACCGATCCACAAGCCGGTGAAAAAGTGAAAGAAAGTTCAATCATTTCAACAATCCACAGGGCCTACAAAAACGATGACGATTTGGTCTTCCGTGACCCCACGAATCGACGAAGTTTCATAAACCGCTCGGCTTACGCGAAACTGCATCGTTCCTCAAGTGCTGGAAGTAACCGTCACAGTGTCGGCAACCTAAAAGGCCGATTTGAAAGCCTGGCCCGCGAGAATTCGCAAGACGAGCCCAACTCCCCAGTTAAAGACACACCCAGTGAGAGTTCCACCGAAGAAGATACCAAGTTCACTCCTGCCAGTTTCGGGTACCCCAAAACGGCAAAATTAAAGCCTCCTCTTATCAAACCCAAGCCCCAAATTCGGAGAAACATCCCCAAAGATGTGAACTCGAACGTGGTGCAAAAATCTGAATCAAACGATGGTGAGGAGTACCGGATTGTCATCCAACAGTCAGCTTCCGAGGAAAGTGTAGACAAGATTGCCAAAGAGCTGTCCAATTTCACCATGGATCGCAAACCAAAGAAACGAGGGAGTTTCCGCAAGTTGTTCCTTGGAGGTTTGTTCAATAAAGACAAGAAGAAGAAAGAGGAAGAACGAAGGAAGATTGGTGATAATATTGTCTATAATGATAATTTGAAGAACGAATCGAGTTTTGTGAGACAAGCGCCTCAGAGACAAACGCTTCCGGTGAATAGTTATAATGAGCGGATTCGTAATCAAGAAATCCACGAGGAGAGGATCAAAGAACTTGAGCAAAAATATGCCGAAATGCATGTTAACCGCTTCAACCAAATCCGGCAAAATTTTAGTGAGAAACGCGAAGATTATGTTCCTATGGATGCCAAAAATGCGAAATCTATTGATTTGGTCAAATATATTGATACGAGTTCGTCCGAATCTGACAAACCAAACGGAGTCGTGGCTCGCGACACTCCTCCCCGAGCCAAAGAAACCTACCAGAATATCCAAGTGGTCAAACCAAAGTCGGTCACACCATCTCCTAGTCCCAGAACCATCGAAAGAAATTTAAACCGGAGTAATAGTAAAGAATATCCAGACAAACCCAATATTACTCCTGAGGATACATACGGTACTGTTTTTGACAGTTTGGAGTACTCCCCGAGCCGGAATGGTGACCTGAAACCGGTCAATACCCGCTCTAGTGTTACCTCACCCAAACCTCCACTTTCCCTCGAAAGTACTAAACTGAGACTGCCATCCAATCGCGAAATTTACGAACCCCTGCCTCGGGTCAAATCACCAATTCCTACAAACAGGGTTAGTACTGATAAAATCATAGCGACTGAGCTTTTAAAAGGGACGAGATCACCAACTCCTCCTAAGAGAACCGTTTCAAAAGAGGTTATAACCGGTAAACCTCCAATGTCGCCAAAATCTCCGAGGAAAAACGAACCACAAGTCGATAGAATAGTCACCAATGCTCTTGTACACGCCCCTCGCCCTGAAACGCCCCTCCGGGCTGCAACTCCAGTCGAACTACGTATGTCCGTCTCTATGAAAATGTCGCCTAATAAGAAGGATATAAGGAAGAGTGTTGAGGAGTACTACTGGAAAGAATTGAAGAAATTGAAAGAGGAGGAAGATTCAAGGCTTTACGCCATGCAAGTGAATGGTTATTTTGAAGAGCAGGCAAAATTGAAACGGTCACGAAGTCTCTCGCCGTCGAGGGTCGGAAGGAGGAGTTTGAGTTTGCCGAGGGATAATCGAGTGGTTTATGATGGCGTGAGGGTGCAACAACAACCGATCCCCGAAGATCAAATCATGACAGGGAGACATTTTGTTTACGATCAAGGATTCATAAGGGGGAGTACTGAACGGAGGACGGTGGATAGTCTCCAAAGACCCATTTTCCGAAGAGGGAGTTTATCTAAACAGGAGATTTATGAGCCCCAGTATAACAAGAGAGTGAGTTTTTCAAACGGACAGCAAGCGTGGCCTACTAGAAATGGGTACGTACAAAGCCCCCCTCAAAGAAGGTTAGGTTCGGAATTGGAGGATGATGTCTTTGTTGACAGTCCCAAAGAACCGATCTATGGTACTAGATACACTGGGCAGAATGAACCCATTTACAGTAACAGGATTTTGGATAAATTCAGGGCCCAACAATTATACGAGTCGCCAAGGAGGCAGCTTTATAATCAAGTTCCTCCACAAATGGGTTCGCGGAGGTCGTCCATGGAGGCAATACCAAGGCAAGACATATACGTCTCTCGCAACCAAATCCGGAGACCTGTATCAAACATCCCTGAAGACTATACAAGGATCCCCTTTCAGCAATACCCCAGCAACTCCCAATCATCCCTTCGCAATTCGATCTACTCCTCTCGGCAAAGCATGGCCGAGCCCATCTACGGCCAAAAACACGTTAGTGTGAGAAACAAATTTTGCGATATTTACGGCCAAATCCACGATTCGCCCAAGTCTGGGGTCGTGATGGGTCAATTAACCAGCCCAGTGCCCCACCAACCCGAGCATTTCGTTCGCGGTTCGCGTCTAACTTCAAGTGCTAACGATGTCGGCCAACGCATTTACGAACCAAGAATTCAGAAATTTCCGCCGAACCGACCGTTGCCGCCTCCACCGACTAAACCTAACCGATTGCAGGTTTCGGATACGGAGAGTGGTTCCGATGCAAGCGAGATCCAGAGAATCATGCAAAATAAAACGAAAAATAAAAAACGGGGCTTTTTTGGTAAGTGAAGTGTTTGAAGGAAGGAAAGTGCCATTCCCGTAAAAAATCTTGAATTGAAGTTGCTATTTTAGGTTAAGGTTTAGAGACTGTGTGCTACTTAAGAGTTTTTTATGTAACTATTGTACTTAAAAATTTATAAATAAATTTTTATCAAGTTTGGGCGTGTTTTTGTAACCTTAGATAGCTCCCTTCAATTCTTGATTTTTTGTACTTATGTATCTATATACGAGGCAGTATTTTATATAATATTTATTATTGTGATAATGACATAAATTGATAAAAAATTTATCTTTCTATTGCAAGTAACTATATACTTATGTATCTAGACTATCATAAAAATATATTTAAATAAATATTTAGCTACCTATTTTTTGCTATATTTTATTGGCTGGCGCCATTTACTAAAGGAAATTTTAAAAAAGTAAGATATTACGTTTAAACTTTAGAAAAATATAATTGAAACAATTTCTATTGGTTGCAAGATGAAGCTAATTAAAATGAAACACAAACTTTGCAAAGGAAGTAATGTTGTTATCGTACCGAAATTAGATCTTTTTAACTAGAAATCTATTTACATTAAAGTTTATAGCCCATTTAAATTATTTATGCCGATTTTGATGTGCTTACGAAATCAATTCAAGTTATTTAGGTTATACAACCAACAATACACGCAGTAGAAAGAAATGATAAATATATTTAAAGTGGTTGATTAAAAAAAGATTTGATGACCTAATCCTTTTCTGGTTAGACTAAAAGCTGGATTCGATTAGTCCCAAGGCTGGAATAGAGTCTATATTAAGATTGTAACTTTCAATAATTTTTTGAAGGTATAAAAGGAATTATACCGTAAAACATTTAATTAAATTTTTTAATTTAATAATCTCTCAGATTTAACTGGTTAACTAAACTTTGCACCAAAAGCATTAAGCCTTATCCAAGTCCTACGTTTCATGCTTTTTTTTAAGTTTTCAACATACAATTTCAACATTATGCTTACAGATTTTTGAAAAATTAAATAATTAAAAAAAAATATTTGTAAATGATATTAAAATGTAAAAACTGAAATTTTATTTTAGTATTTGGAATAAGATATGGGTTTATACTATATGGGTATTTTGGTATTTACAAATAGGTATTGATATAAACGCTAATAAGGTTTACAATAACTGACAAGAAAATGAACAAAGTTTTGTTTGGTCTTTTTGAACTGATGATTAAGATTATAAAATAAAAACTAAAATGCTACAAAAAACATGTGTTTACTTAATAATTATATCTCAAAAAAACAAAATACGTATTTATTTATATCTAAAATGAAGTTGAGTAAATATGTAACAGGAACAAGGACAAGGGCGTCTAGAGGTTAAGATTATTTGCGACATAATAATACATGCAGTGTTTTAAAATTTTTTTCCTGTTTGGATTTTATTTTTTGAAAATTACTAAACCAAATAGAATTTTTTACTACTAAATTAAAAGTAAGGAAAAACGCACATTTTGTTAAGACTTAAGTTGTAAACATACACAAAGTTATTTTACTGCATTTGCAGTAAATATTTATTGACGCTCATCAATATAGCTTGTTACACACGAAAGGTAATTGACATTAAACCCAAACTATGCAGGTGATGTTTTTATTTCGGTGAAAATGGAGCTTTGTAACTGTGTATTTATTTGTGTAGAGTTTATTGGCCTATTAAAATAATTATGCTTGTTATTAGTGTTAATATAATATATTCAAAGTTTTAAAATATGCAACCAACTATACAACAAAAAGTCTCCCTTTTTGTTACACACGAAGCTGTTCTGTAACTTGTAGGGATCCAATTATGCTTTAATACACTTCGTTCCATCTATAAAAAGAGCCGATTAATAAACACGATACATAAATAATCCTCAATGGCCCAATTATCCCGATAAGACACCCCCGTTTCCTCTTCGGAACCAAGCGTAAAACTTTCATTTCGCCGATGTCCTCCTAAACCGCAGGTGTTGCATTAAACTTAATCCCACTCTAGGGCGAAAAAATCCCTTGTGGGCGTCCCTAGTCAAGTCGGGTCGCGTTGGGCGTGCAAGCTGCACTTTGAGCTTTCAGGGTGTTGCTGAAAGTCGCAAAAGCGCGTCCTGCTTTATCCCGGGCAAAGGGCGTGCTAGCAGGGCGTTCACCCCTCAAGTTTCTCTCAAAGCCGCTAGCTGCCAGCAGCGCTCCTATCGATTATCCTTGCAGTTACGTCACTCGGATGCTGTAATCTAGTAGGTGGCTGCATCGGTGTCTGTTCTCGCTCGGCCTACTGTGATGGACTACCGTTCGGCCTACGATACGACCTAATAATTAATGAACCAAACTGTGCTAATAATCCGTGTTTCACTTATCACTCACTGAAAACAAAACACTTGTGCTTTTATTTTTAGGGCCCTTGTCGCGTAAGTATCACTCTGACACGTCCTGAAACGGCCAGTTTTTACAAAAAAGCTAATTTCGATCACTTCGGAGGCTAACTCTTTTTTGGAAATTTTCACGCCTCACGCCTACATGTGGCTACTATTGATAAAAGCAGGGACACGTGTCGTACAAAAAGCTGTTTTTCAGGCACACCCTGTATATTTATCAATGAAAGACGATTCTAAATTTTTCTTTCCCAATCAAAATTTTATTTTGCTGGAATAATCGCTGTCTTTCGCAGTGACAATCCTATTTCGGGTCTGAAACCAATTTAAATTTTAATGGCCAACAATTACGTGGACAGTGACGTACGGTTCCCTATTTTTTCGAACCCTTCAATTTGGCAAAATCCGGCTCTGGTTTTTTAATTAAGATTGAGTAGACTTTAGCTATTATTTATTATGCAGACAAAAAGCCTAATTAAGCGAGGTGTTCATTGTTAAATTTTCGGCTTTTTAGCAAAATGAAGTTTTCAATGTTGGCAAGTGTTTTGAATTGAAAAGACAGTGCGAACATGTTGATACGGTGGAAAAATAAAGATAAGGACAAAGAGAAGTGCGAGAAACCGGCCAATCAGAAGCAGACGCAGAAGAAGAAAAGGAAGTTTGGCAGAGATGGAGGTAATGTTTTCTGTGTGATAGCAAGATTTAGTTTATTTTAAAGTTTTAATTAGACAAAGCAAATGTTTGATTCCGATTCGGTGACACTTTTACCAAACTTTATAGCTTTGCTTTCAACTCATTTTTTGTTCTAATAGCCCCAAGTCTATTAGAATAATGTATCCTCGGACTTTTTTAACCCCTGAGGGGAAAAACAAGGAGATATTTCAGTTGTTTATACTGAAACAACGATTTTTTAAACCTGCAGGTGGTGACATTTCTCGATCAAATTCGATCAACTCGCTCTATTTGTTTTACGGTTTTCTTCAAACATAAATCACATGGTATTTGATTGTTCCAAGTCACCAAATTAATCCTCTCTTCATCGGGATCATAAAACACGAGCGAGGATTAAGTTTCAAGTCGTAAAATCTGCTTTTTTGACACCTTGATCAAAGTACTAGGGGACATTTAATACAAACTTATATTTTTTATAGTTTTATTATTCATAGAAATTGTTAAAACAATAAAATAACTGAATTTTAATCGCTTCAAATGCTTATAGTTGTTGTAACTCCGGCACCAAACACTTATTAGTTCGATTAGGTCTTCGAGCACTTACCTTGTCACTCTATAAGTGGAAGACAAGTAAKTAGGACGAGGATCGATTCGGTAAGTCGTCGAATGTGTCTCAGGGGTCTCGCCCCATTTCCGTGGGATTTGTATTCGGGAAAGAATTTTCATATAAGGGAAGAGTCGAAAAGGGAGTATTGGACCGCATGTTGTATATTACATGACCGTTCGTAACCCAGTTAGTGTATCCAGGTATGTTCAAAGGCGGCTTGGCATGCGCGAGGCCGACAACCTTCACATCGCGGGAGGCTGCGGATTGCCTACAACAGTGTAGTAACAACAGGTTACCACATTGCTCGTGCCCTACAGTCCGGTGTAGTAATTTCAAGTGACGCCACTGGTCCTAGTGCGTTTGATTAAATAACATTTTTTTAGAGAATGTCTCTAGTGGTTTAATGCTTTATTAACCCGGCGCCTCCACCATTTTTGAGTGATTATTACTTATTAAAAATGTTTGTTTGGCGTCATTGTGTGTCTTTGGAAGGTAAGTGAGTCTCACAGATAAAAAAGAAAGAAGTCATTGTATATTTAAGTCGTGAATATTTAAAAAAATAATTTTTTTTTCGCATTTTTTCCTGAAATTTTAAGTACGCGATCGATTGTCAAGAAAAAACCTTGAGACACGTTACAAGAGTGATTAATTATTAAATGTTTCGATAATAAACCGGCCGAAAAAAATCAACAACATCAAGCTGTCACTGTTTGTTAAATTTTCCTTGGAATGAAACTGAGACAAATGATACAATTGGAAAGTTTGGGTTTACTTTACATCTCTTGTACAATTATCCCTGTCAGAACATAAAGCTTCCCTATTTCCTTATAATTAAAATTAATTAAACCGACTTTTCTCAAATATAGGTACTTTGGATTCTTGAGACGAATGTTTGAGAAATTTGTTAAACCAATTTTTAAATTTCCTGTCTTTTATTCAAACTTAGCAAAGTAGCTACACCACGGGTACGGTTAAAATTTGCCAAACCCTATCTTACAAAACAAATAAAAAAATTGTTTATAAAATGTATAAAAAAAAGTTCTTTACAGTATTGTTGATGTTTCTGAGAATGTTTTGGAAAGTTTAGCTACTGATTTTTTTCTGGCTTCGGGTTATATTTGTGGGGCAAAAAGCAAACAGCAATTCGTCTCAAGTTTGCAAAATTGTTGACTGAAGCAATTATCGCGTGCAAAACCCTCAACTAGGTCTCGGCTATGTAATTACTTAGCAGAAGTAATCCACAAAGGAATAAAAAGACGGAAAAAAATAAAATAAAACACGGTTTTTTCTCCGTATAAGACTGCGAAACGACCGTCTGTCTGTATTTATAACT